GTCCCGAGAGAGGACGTGGCGGACATCGGGGAGGCCGTGGAGGCCATGCTGGCTTCAATGGTGCTCAGAACGCCCACTTCCCCAACAACCACATGTCGCACCACAACTTCATGCACCCCAAGTTCGGCTTCAACGATCGCCAGAGGTCGCAACAACATGGCCCGGTAAATGGTTCCGGAGGCCACAGAATGAACATCAGGTCGCCTTCCCTGCCGAACTCCACTGCCATGTACGGCGTCTACCCCTACCCTGGTGATATCAACACAATGTACGGCTACCAGCCTATGCATGCTGGGCCGATGACCGCATACCCCTATTCCGGCCAGTACTACGACCCTTACTCCCAGATTGGCATGATCTCGATGCAGGTCGAGTACTACTTCTCCGTGGATAACTTGTGCAAGGATCTCTTCCTCCGCAAACACATGGACTCCCAGGGTTACGTTGGGCTGGCTTTCATTGCCAACTTCAAGCGCGTCAAGAGCTTGACCGATGACTTCGAGCTTTTGCGCCATGTTGCTCGCCAGCTGAGGAGCGTCGAGTATGTTCAAGCTGAAGATGGGCTGGACCGTCTGCGGCCGAGAGACAAGTGGGAGCAATGGGTTCTCCCTATGGACCAGCGTGATCCTTCTGCCCAGAATGATGGCCCTTCTCCTAGCAGTTCTGTGAAGCCTGAAGATGTCTACGTTGATGGGGCTGTCAATGGACAAGTCCCCAACGGTACCGCTGACTTCAACGGTGCCAAGACGTCGCTATCGTCTACTGCTCCGGAGTTTTCTCCTGCCGGCACCCAGAATGGCCAGACTGAAATCACAAATGTACGAAATCCCCGGTGATGGTCGACTCTATCCCCTTGCTACTTTTGATGGACTACGGCCGTGCTGTTTGTGCCCACTTTCGCACAAAGCATCCGGCAGTTGGCATCCTTCAATACTGTTTCAAATCTGTACGAGGCATCTGTTAACGTCTTTGAACAGCAGGCTGAATAAATTGGTGCATTGTTGAATTCTTCTTCGTTCCCGGGACCTCAACAATTGTCCTTTCAGGTGTGCAAGACTGGAATGATATCTTCGGTTAACCTCACTGACTCCTCGGCAGTCTAATCATGAAATATGCGAGGCCTGAACCAATATGCTGCTCATATGTCAGATTGCGAAAGCTCAAGATTATCCGGGTCGAGAAGAACATCTCACTAATCTGTCTCTTTCCTTACTTTCGACGACTTCTACACGCTTCGATTACGAGCACTCGATAAGCGATTTTCGAAACGGCAACCCAAGACGGTGACCGTGGAATGGATGTTCTGTACCAAATCTGGTCACGTTTCTTGGTCCAAAATTTCAATGCACAAATGTACAATGAATTTAAGAGTCTAGCGTTTGATGATTTCTTTGCACGAAACGTCAGCGGCGGCTTCTTCAGTCTTCACCTTTTGCGGCAACTTTCGACGAGCGGCAGGGGTTTGGGAAAGCTTATCGGTTTTCAAAGAACTGAGCGAAAGCGATCCTCTTGATACCCAAGCTACGCTTAGGCTGTCTCAGACCCTGTTCGCTATGGTGAAGTCCCTGTCCGAACCCAAGTGCACCAAAAGACCGTACCTGGGATGATAGCCTGAGAGCCGAGCTGGAAAAGTAATTATGTCGTTTCTTTTCGTTCTATTACTCTTCTATTTCCGCTCACCCTGTCTCCTCTACCATCTATGTTACTATTGTCGCTTTTTTTTTTCTGCTTATGACTTGCATTTATCTTCTTATTTCTTCGCCGACATGTGTCCATTGAAGTGGAACATTCATGCACATGGGAAGTCTCGGCATATCTTCTTTGTTTCCTTCGCATTTTCCTATTTCAGTCATGGGAGGTTTCGAAAATTTCTGGAGTCCGGGCATGTTTTACTGGGCAGTGTTTATCTGCTCTTGATGCTTGCTTTGAGGTACGCCGGGCTGAAATTCTTTCCACGACCATAGAATGTTCATCCGGGTTATTTGCTTTTTAATACCGTGGTATTGTTTACCCTTCTTGTGTCGATGTTTAGTACGAATGAAACCAGAAAACCCAAAAAGGATAAACAGCTCCTTTCTCTTCTTCATTTCCAACCTTTTTCACTCAAACTTAACCGAACGGTCCTTCCCAGACGGTGGGGGAGATGCTCGGCAAGCTGCACGAACGTTTTGCTCGCACTGCTATGAGGACTTGATATAGGCGTCTCTGCTGACTTGGCCTGGTTACCCTGGGCTTGATGGTGACGCCTTGATGGTGATGCCCTGTTGACATTCCATCTTTCTTTGCCTTTTCATACCGGTGGTCTTATCTGACGAGAGTTTTGCGCATCACATTATGGGTGATCTATTAGTTGGGTCGGGGTGAGACGAGTAGCCCGAGGTAAAGAAAAACAAGATCAAATGCATTATAGCTCAGGAGTCTTGTTTTGCTTTGTGAACTTACGGAACGCAGTTCTAATATATATAGTTATACTACCATCTACCTTAAAATCCGCATGAGACACGTGAATGCAATCATTCTAAATATAAATTAGGCAGTAGATAGTTATTCCTGGAGTATGGAGTAGAGCTGCAGGGTCCGCATCCTGAAGTCGCTGATTCAGCAATAATGCCTGAGGCTAAAACCGGAGCGGCCAGCCAGCTTCACCCGAGCGGCTTGAGCTTCACTCCGGGCTTCTCCAGTGTCTCCGATCAGGCCAGTTTAATCCTTCTCTACCCCCTCCCAGATTCCTGTCTACCACAATGGATGTGGCCTCTCGACAGACAATGAGGCTGATTCGGCCCTCAAATAACCGATCCCTTCTCTCCAGCCCTCGCATTGCCGGCGCTGCTCTCCCGACTACATACCCTCTGAACCGCATTCGACGGAGAAATGCTTCCAGCACCCCTCGCAGACTTGCCCCAGAGACCTCATTTCTGCCCTTAGGCTCTGGGTCCTCATCCAGTGCACCTCCCACCTACTTCTCCAATCGCACCTCCCTTCCAGTCAACACCGTTGTTCGCTTCGTCCCCCAACAGACAGCATGGATCGTCGAGCGGATGGGCAAGTTCCATCGGATTCTAGAACCCGGTCTCGCGATCTTGATCCCATTCTTGGACCGGATTGCCTATGTTAAGAGTTTGAAGGAGTCGGCTATCGAGATACCCAGTCAGAATGCCATCACGGCCGACAATGTCACCTTGGAATTGGATGGTGTGTTGTACACGAGGGTCTTTGACGCGTATAAAGCCAGGTGAGTACGATGCGGCAGGGTTATTGTGCATATATTCCTGAAGAGGGCCATCCTCTTTCAAGTGTTGGATAGAAACTGACCATGCGACTCTTCGGGCTTCAGTTACGGAGTGGAGGATGCCGAGTATGCCATTTCTCAGCTTGCGCAGACGACCATGCGTTCGGAAATCGGACAGCTTACCCTGGATCACGTCTTGAAGGAGCGCGCTACGTTAAATACCAACATCACACAGGCCATCAACGAGGCTGCGCGCGATTGGGGTGTTGTGTGTCTGCGGTACGAGATTAGGGATATTCACGCCCCGGAGGGTGTTGTTGCGGCCATGCACCGCCAGGTTACGGCAGAGCGATCGAAGCGCGCCGAGATTCTCGAGTCCGAAGGTCAGCGACAGAGCGCAATCAACATTGCGGAAGGTCGCAAGCAGTCCGTCATCCTGGCTTCCGAGGCTATGCGGACCGAACAGATCAACCGTGCTGCGGGTGAGGCCGAGGCCATCCTGCTGAAGGCCCAGGCGACCGCCAGAGGTATTGACGCCGTCGCTCAGGCGATTGAGGCTGGTAAGGACAATGCTTACGGCGCTGTCAGCCTCAGCGTTGCTGAGAAGTACGTTGATGCCTTCTCCAACCTTGCCAAGGAGGGTACTGCCGTGGTTGTTCCCGGTAACGTTGGTGACATGGGTGGCATGATTGCCAATGCCATGGCTGTGTACGGCAAGATCAATGAGAGCCAGGCCAAGACCATCGCGGCGAAGTCCCTGGGAGTCCAGGAGCCGGTCCAGAAGGAGACCGCTTCCACCAGCACCAAGTCGGAGCACACACCAGAGTACGACAACGTCGATGCGGAGAAGGAACACAAGACTCCTGACGCCGTTCAGGATGTTCTAGAAGGGTTCGACCAGGTTAGCCAACAGAAACACCAATGAACAAAGCGGCATCCATGTTCTTCTAGCTTTTCTTAGCCTTGTTGTTTGACTATGATTGACCATTCTCCCTTTGCGGTTGCCTCTTTATAATCACCGATTACGAAACTTCTGGATGAATCGCCCATTATCCTACCCATTTTGTATCTCTATTGCCCTATGTGCCCCGTCAGGTACTGATGCATGATGCTTCGGGAGTTCTACTCGAATGAGAGCTACGGCTACCGGGTGTTGAGCTCATGCATCACTTCTAGCAGTTGGCGGAACGGGCGTCAGTCTTTGTCTGGATCATGTACAGTAGACAAAAGTGGATTCCAGGGACCTTCCTCGTTCTCTATCGTAGACAGCGTAGAAATTATCGACGGTAATCTCCGTCAACAACTTTCTTCATCAACTTTAACCCTTAACTTTAGAGCCCTGGGATCGGCGGCAGAAGCTCGGGCCACCGCCTCCCGCGCCGCCCATCCTGGGGATCGCGACTTTCATTCATTGAAACCAAGGCGCGCCCTCTCATCGCCCGTTTTCCTTGCGCTGAATCCCTCCCGATCCCTTTCCTCGTCTGCCTTCCCCACGAGCTCCTCTCCTGCGTCTCACCAATTTACTCGCGATCGGACGGGCCCCGTTACCCGATGAGCTAGGAAGGACAAAGCTTCTTCTTTGCGATGGTACAAATAAGTTAATCCTCGAATCAGCACCTGCAACTACGCTACACTACACTACTATCAGGCACACACATACCACACCTACTTCGCCAGCGAACCCACCGATCTCGGACACTCACAGACACACAGAGAGAGATAGAAAGAGGAGGAATCATCTATAACACAGGGCATCGACGGTGTCTCCGCCATGCATATCATTAAGCCCGTTTGGCTGACACATGGGGGTAATGTTTTCTTCCTTCCTCTCTCTCCTCCCTTTTGGGTCGCCTACCAGACGATAACTGGATGCGTTGTCGAGTATATTGTATCCTATCTGTTGTTATCCTGGCATTGACGCAACCCTTCTTCTTGTTTCTTAACTTTCACAATCAAAGTATTCAGTTATCGGCTAACGCTCTTTCCCTTTTATCTTGTTATACAGGCGAACGGAAGGATTTCGAAGTCTATAGTTGTGATGTATCCCCCGATGGGAGTCGCTTGGTGACAGCTGCTGGAGGTCAGTTCCGGATCATACTACACATCCCCTTTACCTACGATTGTTTGCGGGTTCGAAAGCTATGGAATCATTTATTGACAAAAGTTGTATGTACGATACAGATGGATACGTTCGGATATGGTCGACAGAGGCGATCTGCAACACCGACGACCCGGACCAAGCCAGTAAGCCGAAACAGCTGGCGTCGATGAGCAATCACTCTGGAACGATACATACGGTGCGGTTCTCGCCAAATGGGAAATACCTTGCCTCGGGGGCGGATGATAAGATTGTGTGCATTTATACATTGGATGCGAATCCACCATCTCATGCGTCGACGTTTGGTAGGTGATGCGAGTGGCTTGTTGGTTGTGGATACGGTTTGGGGTGGTGTTGACTGATGTTTTTGCGTGTTTAGGGTCCAACGAGGCACCTCCTGTGGAGAACTGGCGCACGATTCGGAGATTGATCGGTCACGATAACGATGTTCAGGATCTGGGATGGTCGTACGATTCTTCGATATTGGTTTCGGTTGGATTGGATTCGAAGGTTGTCGTGTGGTCGGGGACTACGTTTGAGAAGCTCAAGACCCTTTCTATTCACCAGAGTCACGTCAAGGGCATTACATTTGATCCGGCGAATAAGTACTTTGCTACGGCCAGCGATGATCGCACTGTTCGGATCTTCCGCTTTACATCTCCTGCGCCGAATTCCAGCGCTCATGACCAAATGAACAACTTCGTCCTTGAGCAGACTATCTCCGCGCCGTTTTCGAATTCCCCTTTGACGGCCTACTTCCGCCGGTGTTCCTGGTCGCCAGATGGTATGCACATCGCAGCGGCCAATGCGGTGAACGGCCCCGTCAGCTCGGTTGCGATCATCAACCGGGGCTCGTGGGATGGCGACATCAATCTTATTGGGCATGAAGCACCGGTCGAAGTTTGCGCTTTCTCTCCGCGGTTGTACTCGCCCCAACCGATCACCAAACCGGCAGTGGATAGCCAAGGCCAGGTGGTGCACAACTCCGTCACGGTTATTGCATGCGCGGGCGGTGATAAGTCACTCAGCATTTGGATCACCAGTAACCCGAGGCCTATCGTGGTTGCCCAGGAACTGGCTGCCAAGTCCATTTCCGACCTGGCATGGAGTCCGGATGGCAAATGCCTTTATGCAACTGCCCTCGACGGCACAATCCTTGCAGTGCGGTTCGAAGATGGGGATCTAGGCTATGCGATGGAGATGGAGGAGAATGAAAGATCGCTTACCAAGTTTGGCACGAATCGAAAGGGCGCCGGCATCACCGAGACCACGGACGGATTGCTTCTTGAGGAGAAGAGTAAAGCTGGAGAGATCAAGGGAGTCGAAGGTCGCATGGGTGCTTTGATGGGTGACGATCATGCGGCTGCAGACAGCACGGCCAATGGAAAGCCTGGCTCAGGAGCATCGAATGGCGTCACGCCAGCTCGAGCAGCGTCCCCTACGCCGGATACACAAAAGTCTCAGCCGAACGGAACCGCAGGCACGCCCGCAGCACAGGAGCCGGAGAAGCCCGACCCATACCAGGCTAAGCTGGAAAGGCTGAAGCAGCGTCCAACGTATACGAAGGATGGAAAGAAGCGAATCGCCCCCCTTCTGGTATCGGGTGCTGGAGCGGCTGAATCCTCTCTTCCACAAGCCCGACTCATGGCGTCGGTCAGTAGCCAAGTCAAGGCCGACACACCGCAATCGATTGTGGACCTCTCCAAGCCTTTCGATGGGCTACCCAAGGGTGGTCTGGCAGCCCTGCTTTTCGGAAACAAGCGCAAACTCGCTCAGTTAGAAGGGGATGACGATGGGCAGGTTGAGAAGCGCGTGGCGCTGGCCAGCCAAAACGGAGCCACCCCGATTCTGGCAAGCACGCCCGACGGTCTACTTCCTGCTCAACCGCAGCCCGCTCCCACCGGTCAGCAACAAACGCCAGAGTTCATTCGCCCAGCTGTTATGAATCCTTGCATGGCAATCAGTCAGCTTCGGTTGGCGGTACCGAAGGTCCGCAGTCAAATAGTACGAGCCATCGATCCGACTGGGAAACCGACAGAGCCCAATGCGCCGGGGGAAACCAACAAGTCGCGGGTTGACGTGGTTTTCGAAGCACGCAATCCATCTCCGGCCAGCTTGACGGGGCGTGCGATTGATCGAGAACCGGTGCGGCTCACGCTTTTCCGCGGCGAGCAGCCCTTGTGGCAAGACTTCCTCCCGCGCACTGTTCTTCTGGTAACAGGTAATTTGAGCATGTGGGCTGCAGCTTGCGAAGACGGATCGGTGTACATCTGGACGCCAGCTGGGCGTCGGCTAGTCAGCGCCTTGGTACTCGAGGCACAGCCAGTGATTCTAGAGTGCAATGGTCCCTGGATTCTCTGTATCTCAGCTGTGGGCATGTGCTATGTCTGGAATGTGAAACATCTTTCCTCTCCACATCCGCCTATTTCATTGCAGCCAGTGCTTGATGCTGCCGTTCACACTTTGGGCGCACACCCGAGCGCTGCGCCCGCCATCACAAACGCCCGAATCAACTCCGAAGGTCGTGTGGTGGTTGCTTTGTCTAATGGTGAGGGATACTCCTATTCACCGTCCATGTACACCTGGCAGCGGATCTCGGAGTCTTGGTGGGCAGTTGGCAGTCAGTACTGGAACACCACGGAAGCGCCTGTGGGCAATCTCCAGTCGACAGACTCGCAGGACAAAGACGCCAAGGCAGCTGTGTCGGCAGGAATTGTTCCTTTCCTGGAGCGCAACACCACGAATGAGACGCTGCTGCGTGGACGTGCCTACTTCCTTCAGCGACTGATCAAGGTACTGCTGTCGCGGGAGGGATATGAGAGCTTCGAGTCTAGCGTTTCTATCGCTCACCTCGAGAATCGCCTTGCTGCCGCGTTGTCTCTAGGCGCCAAGGAAGAGTTCCGACTGTATCTGTCGATGTACGCTAAGCGGATCGGGGCAGAGGGGCTGAAGATGAAGGTCGAAGAGCTGCTGAAGGGATTGATTGGTGGGCTGTTTGAAGAGGAGGATGCAGACGCGGTCCGCCGGTTACAGGACAACGAGCAGGACGACCGGAATTGGCGCGAAAGCTCCGAGACCCTCTGTGGCTGGCCACGGGAGGTGTTGTTGAAGGAGGTGATCCTTGCTCTTGGTATGTTTCTCTGCTCCGATTTTTAATCTTCTTATAAAACTAACATGGTATAGGCAAACATCGTGATCTGCAACGTGTGACGGTGCCTTATGCGAAGCTGCTGGGAGTTGTGGACAACGAGTCTGAAGCTGGAGATGCCATGGAAACCTAAGTCGGGGGGTTAGGGTATCATGTTCGATTGTTTGCTAGGCGTTCAGCTGGCGTTGACTGGGTATTGATTATTCTATACTAGTCTGGAATGACTGGGTTTATGGGTTGGGATATGGAGGGCATTCATGTCATACTTGCGCTGCTGCTTTGCACACTGTGTATTGTTTCTGTATTATATCATATTATGTTGGTGATGCCTGTGTGGTTGATGGTGTCTCCTGTTTTTCTTCATTGATAGCATTGATGCTTGTTTACTGGAGATGGGTGCGATGCGAATCCCATTACTTCAGCACTCTTATGATAATTATCCCGGACTGGAGAGATATATAAGAGGACCTTCTGCCACTGTCACTGACCACAGGAGTCATCCTTTCATGCCAAATTTAGGGTCAAGCAGAAAGAGCAGTACTGTATGACTCGTTTAAATATACGGTACTATTGGCAATGTTCACCGAATTTTCAGAGGTAATGAGGCTCTGGTGTGTGCTGGAGATATACAATATTTAACGATGTAATGGTTATCTGGGGCCCAGTTTCGGCCGCCCTCACGCCGTTTTACGAGTCTCTCTCACCAGCTCCTGTCTTGACATCACATGTGTCAGTGCACACAACACCAAGGGTTTTCGGGCCTGACGCTAGTGCAACAGGTGCCGAGCATGTTCAACTTCGCTGCTGAGGGACTCTGTTCCTGTCGCTGAAAAGGGATGCCGTTTTTGGGTTTTGAGGAATCCGTCATTGACGAGGGCGAGATGCCTATAGAGAGCATTATCGGGCTAAAGTAGAGAACTAGAGAACCTAGATTACTCTCGGCTCCGGCAGAAGCGGTACAGCAACACTACACAGGAAGGCGAAGAAGTTAAAACGAGACTCGTGTCTACTGGGATAGTAGGTAATAAAGTATTCCCTCTTCTTTTTTTTTTTTTTTTCCCCCTTTGCGTGGCGGTGCGAAATTCGACGCGGTAAGAAGGGGCGACATTGCCCGGAGATCAGATACACAAGCTCGTTAGAGTCATTCTGGAAGTGGTTGCATTCGGTTCTGAAGCAAGAGTTTATAGTAAATTTAAATAAGAAGATCCAAATAAAAGTATAAGATATAAACTGATAACATCTCTCTGTTCTAATTTAAGATAAGAAAATCATTCTTCATATACAGGTCATTGCCATAGTGGCCGAGGAGAAAAAAACTTAGAGCTTTTTACAGTGACTGAAGAGGGAAATTATATATCAAGGATGTCATTAAGCTTATGCCAGTTCTTTTAACCACCACTGAGATGAGTTTTTTGAAGTGTAGTATATAGTTAGCTTCTTTTTTTCTGCCTGCCTGTTATCATTACAGTAAGTTATACCGGAGTACTCCTCACTCTCACTTGAGATGGTGATCGAGACCCGTCAGACCAAATTTCTTCTATGTCACCTATTTTCTGTATGATGGACTCGTTTATACATAGTGAGAGTTCATTTTAGCGTAGTAATTGGACCTTTAAATCGACCCGAGTGTTGTTCGCGAACCGGACGCTCCACTGCCAATCCATATCAGTAAATAAACCAATCAAAAGGTCTTTCCCACGTAATTGGTATCCACATCTCTTCAACGGTTGACGGTGACATGATGTATGCGGTAGTCGTAGCATTCACATCCCTTGGACGCACTTCAGCAAAACTTCAGTTTCAGGTCGTCCTTGCACTTCTGAGACAAAGGGGAATTTGATGCTGTCTTGAGGTAGCCGGTTGTTCAAAATACAAAGTCTAGCCTTTTTCAAGTGCCATGATCTGGTTTTCTTGCAATCTATAGGCCTTTTTTTTTTTTTTTAATCTATAGTTTTAATCACCCTCCTACCTGAAACCATGTCGGGCCAACATTGTAATTGGGCAGATGCATCCACCTTGATAACAAAATCCAAGGCAATCCCGGCTGTCCCAAAGGTGATGACCACCTCTGGGCTCACAGCGAGACCCAAGTGTCCTTGCCGGCCCGTCGAAGAGTGAATGAAGGATGATATCGGACCATAATGAACATTGCAGATGACATTAACAACGCGTCAAATACGTAGAGGAAGGCTTCATGGGACATGATGTAGCCCCCATAACCATCGATGAACTCTATGACCCGATAGAGAGAACGGATCAATATTAGAATTCCAACAGCGTACAGAGCCCCAAGTAACGTGGTCCAGTGCAACTCAGAGGAAGCCGAAATCAAAGTTTCGTCGCCCATTTCGGATGACGATTCTCTGAGCTTTCGCTTATGGAAAACCGCAGCAGTCACAAGGAATATGCCGAAGAAGATGAGCTGTATGATTAACCCCACAATTGTGATCTGAATTCCAGCTTTGCTTCCTCCGCTAGCCATCATACCCCCACCTGTGGTGAAGAAGATCGGCACTTAAATCAGCGTGGCTCCTCAACAATAGACCAGGAAGGAAGGACAGACGAACCGGCACATTGCGCCATGAAGGACAGTACATCTCCCATTACGAAGATTTTGGTCAGCCACTTCACTGGAATGATGCTCAGATGTTGCCCGCGAAGGCCAGAGATCACCCGACCGAGAACCATATAAATGGAAGCGGCATAAAGGGCAGGGGCGAGAAGGATCGTTAAATTTTGGATGGAGAAGATCAGAATAGAAGTTTCATGGTTGTGTCCAGCGATCCGTGCAATATAGCCGATGACCTGGACTGCCGATGTCTGCGCGTGAGTAAAAAAAAAAAAAAAAAGGAGACGACGAGACATCAGGACTTACATATGCCTCCTATGACAAAAGGAATCCAGTACCACGAATTTGCTCTCATCATGAGATAGCTATGCCAAGTGGTAGCAATCAGGAAGAGAATCAAGAAGATAGCTGCTGCAGGGACCGACGGGTTGTAACCCCAAACGTTGGTTCCCATGGTCTTCCTGCTCTGAAGCCTGCCAGTCGAACGCTTCCTCGGAGTGGATAAATCAACACGCACTTGATAGAAGAACCTGCGTTCGGATGGCCTCCTTGATGAATAAAACAGCGCACTTTGCGATTGGTACGTTCGGTGCAGCTGGACGATTCCGAGGCGTCACACTAAACGACGAGTCACTATACAATTCGGAACTAGGGAGAGGAGTTGAATCTGGGCCCCAGATAGGTACAGCTTTGCAAAGAAAAAAAGTATTCTTTAGCATTGCATCACGGGTCCTTTATAGCATAGCCGACACCACATTTCTCAAGTGTTGTAGTCCTGCCGGCCCTAAATTTAGCCACCTTTTTATCACGCTTAAAAAGAGGAATGTCTCTTTATCTTGACCGTATTCGCATTCGGATACACTCATGGGGCCCCGCGGCCCACTGCACTAACAGTCTAACACATACGGAGTGGCTTCATGATATGAGCTACACCCGGCCCACTTAGCACGGAACTGTAAATTTTGCCCTTGACGCCGAAACTCTATTTGCACTACGTAAGCAAGGCTTAACAACGAATGTTGCCTCGACAAGACTAGGTATGTATTCCGTCCGCATGGAGAAATTGAATTTTCCGGCACTTAACTTGCCACACAATCGTTCATCATTATACGAAGCCAGCAAGTCCGAAGCTACGTGCCCACCTTGTCGCCTAAGAGGCACTGCAATGCGTTGAAATCCGTCACCTTGTGCAATGGGCCCAAGGAGGAGTCATAAGAAATCTCGCAATGGCTGCCGAGAGTGCAAACGAAGGAGAGTCAAAGTATGTATTGCATATGCCAAGTCAGCCTCTCCCAGAGATTGTCGCATGCTAATGATTGTCGGCCTCAAATCAGTGTGATGAGATATATCCTTGCACTAACTGTATCAGACATGGCATAAGCTGCAGTTATGTGGAGAACAATAACATTCCCAGCGTTTCACAATCGCAGCCAACCTCCCAGTCTCTTCCAGCACCATCGGCCAGTGGTTCACTGACGCCAGATTCGTCAACCTCATTCAACCTGCCACTTAGTCCTGAAAACAGAGAGGGCAGAAACGACCGCCAATTATTCGACCTTCTTTCTCGGCCGGTCAATGTTACCGACTCTTCCAAGGACGTTGACTGGCTGTGTGACATTGACTTAATGCATCATTTTTGCACTGCAACTGCCAGCACGTTGGCTATTCGAGAAGATGCTCGTCACACGTGGAGAGTTGAGGTTCCTAGAGAAGGATTCTCAAATCCATACCTCGCGCACGGGATACTAGCGATCTCTGCCCTCCACAAGGCATACCTCTATCCTATGCAGCGAGAACTTTATCTAAGCAGATCTGCCTATCACCAGGCGGAGGGGTTGAGTACTTTTCGTACCGTTATCTGCAACGTCGAGAGTGACACTTGGCCCTCCGTTTTCTGCTTTGCATCCCTCGTGGTGTTTTATACCAGTGCGCTTTCGGTGCGAATAGGCGGAGAAGCCATTCCCTCTCCTATACAGAACATCTCAGAGCTCTTCCTCGTGACGAAGGGCATCGATGCAATACTCGCTCCGTTCATTCCTGCTCTCCGGAAAAGCTTCCTTGCTCCCTTGGTATACAGCGTTTGGCTGGACGATCCATTGAATCGGAACAGGTATGCTACACGCCGCAGTCAATGATGCTGTGGTCTACTACCATCCCTCGTACAAGGTACACAAGTACAGATTGATTGACGTTGATCCGTCCTTACTTTTGTTCGATTAGATCCCACCCTTGTTCAGTACTGCCAGCCGACACTTGGGAACAAATGACGATCCTTAGTCAACTGATCGAATCTTACCCACTGACTCCCGACGAACGGAACGAATATACTCGGTCTTTTTCCAGACTTAGATCTGCAATGAAGCAAATTTCACTGGCAGGACGGGATGTTGAAGCCGGAATGGTCTACATTTGGCCATTTGGTCTCGCAAGGGGGCTGATTGCGGATATTCAACAGCACAGGCCCATCGCTCTTGTTTTTCTAGGGTACTATTGTGTGCCGCTAGCCCTCCTCGACCATTTTTGGTTCATGAAGGGGTGGAGCAAGCGAGTTTTGGAAGATATTGAAGACCACTTGCCAGCTAAGTACTCTTCGTTCTTAGATTGGCCGAAAAGATGTGTCCTCAAATAGGACGCCTGGAAGGCCGCGAACAATAACACGCAAAGGGCACAGAGGCAGAGGGGAAAAGGAAAGGAGGGGTGAGAGAGGGAAGGGCTGATATATAGACTGTCCTGCCTTTAGTTTGCATAGGTGTCATCTTACGCAGCTGTTCTGTGCCCTCCCGTGGTATACCACGCCGGCTATATGAGCTTACGTTACAACATATCTCATGATCTCAATCCTGGCACATCACCCGTAAATGTAACCTACGGCAATATCAAGTGTGATGCGAAACTATTCCCCGGTGATAGAGCAGTACCTTGCACGCATACACGTTTTAGGCAGGGCTTGTTGGCCGCGCAGAATCATGTCGATTTCCAAATCGACAAACGAGTACGGACAGAGCACCGATTGTGCTGGCTTCAGATTGAGGATGAAATAACCTACACTTTAGGAAAAATATCCGTCGTGATCCTTGCAAACCCTGGGCCGACGACCCCACCGTGACGGCCAATGATCAGCAGGTATTGCTATTTATTGGACATGCTAATTTAAAAGTGGGCACTGCAGAACGAACACGAATACGACAGGGCTGTCCAGACTTCTAGATCCAAGGAGCGAATACGATCACAAACACACGGGTGTAGGCATCTCCTGATTCAACCATTGAAGAAGCAAGGAACCATATCCAGACTGGGCATGTAGTCTCTAGAAACCTTTCCAACCCTAGGATCCTATTCGAATTCGAATACGGCTTCTTGAGCCACACCATAGTATTCTTTCGAAAAAGTCTTCAGCGTACCCCCAAGATAATCTGACTTCAATACTAGGTACTACAGGTGGCTCTTGGAAATCTGCGGACGGATATATAAACCTGGAACTGTGCGCATGTTTAGGAGACATCAAGACACTTCTGGCAGTCAGTCAACATCATAGTAAGACTTGTCTTGATATGCATCTCTCTACATTTGTGGGCATTATCGCTCTTGCGGAGCGAGCGTTGACAAGCTCGTTGCAATGCAAATGCGTGAGTCACGACTGTAACTCTACCTTACAGCCGGATTTGGTACTTATGAGGTTATAGGCTCCCAATGATGCTTGCTGGCCGCCCGTTACCGAGTGGGACTCTCTGAATACAACTGTCTCGGGTCGTCTAATTGAAACGATCCCCGTCGGGTCGGTCTGCTATCCTTCCGAACCAACATATGACGCCGAAGCTTGCGCTGCTGTTCGTACCAACTGGACTACCTGGCCATTCCACTCGGACAACTCGGTAAGCACTGGTAACCCCGATTGGGATGATGCATGTACCCCTATCTATGCCAATGGAACCAGTGTGACCGCCAATGTCGATGCTGGAAAGGAAGGCTGCTCAATTGGAAACTATCCGCCATATGTGGTCAATGCTACACAAGTCCATCATGTCCAAGCTGCTGTTAAATTTGCCAAGAAGTGGAATTTGCGACTTAACATCAAAAACACCGGTCATAGTGGCTGGCGAAGGTACCTAAAGCTTCCTCAAGGCCCCCCTTTACCAGCTGACCAAAGACCCTGCTAACTTTCAATTGTAGTATCGCTTATGGAAGTCTGTCGTAAGTACTTGGTTTATACAATGATGCGGATTAATATCTCACCAAGTCGCAGGATCTGGACACACCACATGAAGAGCTTTGAATTCCATGACAAATTCAAACCAGAATCGTGTCAGAAAGAGGAATCTACTATGGCTGCAACTTTAGGCGCCGGGATTCAGGACGGAGAGTTATTTGCCAATATGGCGAAGCATGACGCAATCGCAGTTGGAGGCGAGAACGCGGTTTGTGCCTCCCCCCTGGGATACTCTGGAATCTTGAAGTAAACTAATGTTTGCAGGACGTTGGTGTCGTCGGATGGGCAACAGGCGGTGGGCATGGCCTCGCCACCGGCACATACGGTATGGGAGCAGATAATATTGTCGAAGCTACCGTTGTCACGCCCGATGGGAGGGTACTCAAAGCAAACGCGTGTCAGAATCAGGATCTTTTCTGGGCTCTTCGTGGAGGAGGCGGCGGCACGTTCGGTGTCATCACAAGCCTTACCGTCAAAGCTTACAAGATGCCGTCTGTGACGCTTGCGATGATCAACGTTGGCGCTAAAAACTCTACCTCTACCAAATCCTGGTATCAGCTCGTCGCGCAGATGCACACACAGTTTCCCCGACTGCAGGATGCAGGGTTGCACGGATATTACACCATGTCTGGGTCTCCGAAGTCGATAACTGTGACCCTCCTACAGTACAATAAGCCGAATACGACCAGCATCTTGAGGCTTAGTGAACCATTATTGGAGGTTCTGAACGCTGCCAACTCATCCGCAACACATAGCTTCACCACTGAATGGGTGCCTTCTTGGTATACTCTGGTGGAACATGTTCCCATGTCTGGCAGCACCGGCTCCTCGCACAGTGCTACCGCATCTCGATTGATTCCTCGCCGCGCACTGGAAAATGTTGACTTGCTCGCCGATGTGCTCGAAACAGTGACGTCCCCTGATAATGTGCCTGTACGGAAGACCTCTCCATTATTGTGCTCCTATCGTGTTCTAACGTAGCCTTCACATGCAGATTGGCGTCTCGAAGCCTTCAATCTCAGGAACAATGACAGCCAGCAAAGAGCCTGTTGACAATGCTCTTAACCCTGCCTGGAGGGAAACAGCCGTTCACCTCATCGCAAGTCGATCTTGGGATGATTCCGTTTCCGAGGATGTCGCAAACCAGGTCACTGAGGACATGACCTTCAAAAGAGGATACGCACTGCGCCAGCTTGCCCCGGATGCTGGAGCTTATTTCAATGAGGTGGGAAACTCGCCCTCTATCGAGCAATTTTCACTTCACTCGCTAACGGACAGAAGGCCAATTATCACGAGCCCAACTGGCAGTGGTCCCTGTTTGGGAACAACTACCCCCGTCTTCATTCGATCAAAAAGGTATATGACCCCGAAAGCGTGCTTTGGTGTCATCATTGTGTCGGTAGTGAAGAATGGGCGCTGCAAGACAATGGCAGCTTGTGCCAGACCTTCTGAAGGGGTTCTGGTTAAATTTTGAAGGCATGAATCCATATGTGACATAATCGCATTTTCTATTATAGAGCTTTGCGGCGGTTCTTCTTGCTTAATATAGAGGCTCTGCACTCTCTGCTGGAGCTAATCCTAGCGCTATTATGGTTCTTCCAAAGCTAGCAGATACCTGGGCATTAACCCCTACCGTACATGTACAAGTACGATCTTTTAGTCTCAGGAAAATAGGAAAATTGCTTAATTTCATGTTCACTAAACCTGTTTCGTTACTAATTCTTCCATACTATAGACTGCCTCAGATCTGAGGCATCAATACCAGGGCAGGGCTCTCACGTGGGCGGTGAGAGTGAAAAAAAAAAAGGCACACATGAAATTAGCGAAGAACCGGCGTCAGTCAAGTCGTCATGGGCTGAAACCATAGTTTACTGTGTAGAGAACTCTCCCTTGGGCACTACGACTAAGCACCAAATACAAGGAATCACTAGAGTTACAGCCCGTCATCCTAACTGCCACTCACCTTGACCACTGTAGATATACTTTTTCCATATCCATTATCTTCTGCCCACGGCCAAAGTGGGCGTCGCCATCCTGTCTTCCCTTCCGGGCACCCGTTTTCTTTTCCTTTCTTCGTCTCTCCGCTTTCATCGCTCCGCAGCTGGTCCTGCTTCATCCTTTGCTGCTGCTGCTACTACCTTCCCCTCTTTGCGACTCTCGCTTGCTGCTGCTGCTGCTCCTCTTTCTTCTCCGTCCCCGCCCTTCCTCTTTCTTTCCCGCCGCTCCTACTCGAGCAAGAAGAAGAAAGCATCCAAGTCCAAAATGCCCCCCAAGAAGGCCGTCGTTCAAGAAAAGGTCCTACTGGGCCGTCCAGGAAACAACCTGAAGAGTGGTATCGTATGTGAGCATTGACCCCACCATACACTATGTGTTTTTTTTTTTCTGCCCCTCCCAGCCTCCTCCCTTTTCGTCTTTTTTTTTTCCCTTTTGTTTTTTTTCCAACGTCCCTTCCCTCGCTTGTTTCCTTTCCCCCCTATAAATATCTTCCTTCTCCTTTTTCTTTTCCTTCCTTCTCTTCTCCTTCCTTCTCAACATGCAATCACCACACACAATGTAATTGCCAAAGAAGGGAAATAATAATGTTTATTCTCTCCTCTCTAGGTTGGTCTCGCCAACGTCGGCAAGTCCACGCTCTTCCAGGCCATTACCAAGTCGTCTCTTGGTAACCCCGCCAACTTCCCCTATGCTACCATTGACCCCGAAGAGGCTCGTGTCATTGTCCCCGATGACCGCTTCGACTGGCTGTGCGAGCACTACAAGCCCAAGTCTCAGGTTCCCGCCAACTTGACCGTCTATGATATCGCCGGTCTGACCCGTGGTGCCTCCACCGGTGCCGGTCTCGGTAACGCTTTCTTGTCGCACATCCGTGCCGTCGATGCTATCTTCCAGGTCGTTCGTTGCTTCGATGATGCCGAGATTATCCACGTCGAGGGTGACGTCGACCCCATCCGTGATCTGACCATCATCAGCGAGGAGCTGCGTATCAAGGATATCGAGTTCGTCGAGAAGGCTCTCGAGAACCTTCAGAAGCAGACCAAGCGTGGTGGTCAGACTCTCGAGATGAAGAAGCTGCGTGAGGAGGAGGCTACCGTTGCCAAGGTGCTGGAGTGGCTCAAGGACGGCAAGGACGTCCGCAAGAACGAGTGGGGTCCCAAGGAGGTACGTTTATTATCATTTTCTTCTATCCTGCGCTGCACCTGCACACCTTTTATGATGAATAAGAGTTTTACTCGAAATAACCCAGCTCGTCGAATGTCTCAAATTTTTTTCCAACGTAGAGGCATCATGAGATTACGTCCCGTCTGATTCACTTGATTATCATTATTTTGTCATCTGCATCACTGTTTTCGCAACATGCTGATTTGTCTAGGTTGAAACCATCAACCCCCTGATGTTGCTCACTGCCAAGCCGGTTGTCTACCTGGTCAACCTGAGTGAGAAGGACTACATCCGCCAGAAGAACAAGTACCTGCCCAAGGTGTTCGAGTGGATCAAGACCAACTCTCCGGGTGACTCCCTGATCCCCATCTCCGTCTCGTTCGAGGAGCGTCTGACCCGCTTCGAGAGCGATGAGGCTGCTCTGGAGGAGTGCAAGAGCCTGAACACCAAGTCGGCCCTGCCCAAGGTGATTACCACCATGCGTCAGGTGCTGAACCTGGCCAGTTTCTTCACCACCGGTACGGACGAGGTGCGCCAGTGGACCATCCGTAAGGGCATCAAGGCCCCGGCTGCTGCTGGTGTTATCCACACCGACTTTGAGAAGACCTTTATCCAGGCCGTTGTGTACAACTACGCGACTCTGCGTGAGTACGGCGACGAAGGTGCCGTCAAGGCCGCTGGTAAGGTGATGACCAAGGGTAAGGATTACGTTGTGGAGGATGGTGATATTCTGTTGATCAAGGCGGGTGCTGCCCGTGGTTAAGTGGTTAAACAGACTATATAGCCAATACCATATCATTTCCTTCAACTTGATATTTCATTGTAGTAGTCATAACCAGTAAGCAGTGATCAAGTAAACCGTAATCTATAGTCATACTCTGTAGTTCATACTCTACGTAGTACGTATAGCAGACCTGCAGCTAGCTACCCCACCGACCACGTGACATCCCCCGCAACAGATCTGCGTGAAGATTGCGATAGCCTCCGAATTCACAACATACACCACACCACCAGCAAGATGTTTAAAAAGGAGTAAGTAGATGCAGCTACCAAATACCTCCATCTACCCAATCTATGCAACCATATCCCCCTTACTCCTAATCCCTCCTCACCAATCCTCCTCACAACACTCCTCCTCCCCACCACCATCACAAGCAAAGCTAACAAAGAGTACCAGTATCCCCCCGAGCAACCGCTCAAAAGTCAAATCCTCCGTGCAGCGCGGCCTCCGCCAACGGTTCCTCGACACATACCCAGGCTTCGAACCCTACATTGAAGAAGTCCTACCGAAGAAGGCCCAACTGGATGCCGTGAAGCTGTACGCTCCCCATACCTTTATACCCCCACCTACATTCTCACCCCATCCTCACCCACGAAACAGCAAGCTAACTAAACCCATCATCCCTCCGGGATGATAAATGAAATAATAGTCCAGAAAGATCCACCCTCTACACCCACGAAAACACCCCCCTATTCTACCAACCGCTCGACGGCCCACCCATCCCACACCTGAAACTCATCCACGCCTACCCGGACGCCCTGCCCACGATCCAGATCGACCGGGGAGCTATTCGGTTTGTGTTGTCTGGTGCGGCGCTCATGGCGCCGGGGTTGACGAGTGCTGGGGGACGCTTGCCGGATGTGGAGAGTGGGGAGAAGGAGATTAAGGCTGGGGAGGTTGTTGCGGTGAAGGCGGAGGGGAAGGAGACGGTTTGTCTGGTGGGTGTGTTGAAGGTCGGCACGGAGGAGATTAAGAAGGTTGGGAAGGGGGTCGTGCTTGATGAGGGGCATTATCTTGGGGATGGGTTGTGGAGGTATCATCTTGATTAAGATATCCCCGGAGGGGAGTTATGGTAGGGGGATGGGAGGGGGAGAGGGGTTTATACCAGTGTGTTTGGGGTGGGGTTGGGGTTGGGGTTGAGGTGTGGCTATGATATGACTTTTTATTATTATGTTTGTACGTGAATGAAAGTAAAAGTGTCTATGTCTTCTGTTATTCTCTCTTGAAGGTGGGTGGTATTATGTACATTTGTATGTAGTTAGCTATGACGATGATTCAGGTCGCGGGGACAATGATGTCGGTGATAGTGATGACCATGATGGTGTGCGGATCGCCAGTCCTAGCCCCTTCACGCTCGTTCCTGATCCGTTCAGCCCCGTCCCTGGGAGATTGCCATCTCTCAATCCCGCGCGCGTCACGGCCCGTTGCAGCATATCGCCTGATCCGTCGAGCGCGATCAGGAACCGAGCCAGTTCTGCACACAGCTCCCAGTCGTTCTTCCGCGATGCGAGGTACATCAGACGGACGACATAGTCCTCGATAGGCGAGTCGTGGTCGTCGTCTTCGTCTTCGAATGCCTGCAGCACTAGGAGATAGCCTACTGCTGTTTTGAGCGAGTTGAGCTTGAGTGCTTGCTCGAAGAGGTCCTTCGGCGGAGGAAGGTATGTGAACAGGGTGCGCCAGGACCGAAGTTCTGTTTTGCGCGTGCACTGGACGACAATGTCTAGGTATACGGTGGCGGGTAGGGATGCCTGGAGGAACGATATGACCGTCGGAAGGAGGGGGCTGTGTTTTTGCGATGGGTCGTCGGTCTTGCTGTCCTTGCTCGCGTTGTCGACCTCGTCGTCGAGGACGTGGTGCAGCAGGACTTCTAGGGCGTGTGGAAAGTAGGAGAGGTGGGAGAAATGTTGGCATAACGACAGCGCTGCTGGCATGTCGCCATGTGTCAGGCTATGTTGGAGGAAGTATGGAAGGAATAGGTGTGTCTATACAGTCAGCAGCAGTCTTGAAGACCAGAGGACAACTTACTCGGATGGCGAACTTCAGCACAGAGAACGTGACATCGCGGCGCTGGGTCATCTCTGCCTCCACTCCCAGCACGATGCCCTTATTCAGTAGTACTGACAGAGGGTAAAAGTCCAGTGGTACCTCGAGCGGCTTCGCTACGTCTTCCCGGTGCAGCACATCCTGCACATCGCTCCATGAAAGGAGTTCTTTCCCGCAGAATGTCCACAGTGAGTCCCGTAGCGACAGGTTACTGTGATACATGTTCAACGCCATCTCGGCTGCCGGACTAGCCGGGACTGACTCGTCCACAGACGGCGCAAAGTTGAAGGACAACTGGTCCCTCATCAGAATGTAGTACTCGACTTCGTGCGATACCACACGCATGTCGTACTTTAGCTCTCCGGTCTCCGACGTCGATGGTTGCAGCAGGACCAAGTTGCCGTCGACCAACAAGAGCACTGATGCGACCTTGACATCCTGTGATGGATCGCCATTACCTGCTGCAGTCAGTATACGTCACAACCCAGAAGCAGCACACTTACGCATCTGATCCTCAGGCAAAATCCAGCTGATCGCTCGCACGCGAGTCGGTGCCCGCACGATGCCATGAAAAGCAATCTGACCAACCGGGACCAGTGTTATTCGGGAGTGTGCAGAGTTGATGATATAGTGGTAGAGGATATTATCATAGGTATAGACAAGAAGGGAGTCTTCGCCTGACGGCCCGATGAAGACGACAGGCGAAGGTAGGTATTCTATATGCAAGATTGTGTGGTTGTTCAGGGGACTCTCTCGGGAGTAGAGCCGGAGCTGTGACGATAATTAGTACTTGGTGCACACTCATCTCTGTTGACTCACTTCATAAGATCCATCGTTGTCGATGGCAGCAATCAGAATGTGTCCGTACCAGCACATGCCGCCTCTGACGGCAAACGAATTCTCAATCTTGGAATCCTCAAACACTCGCCAGCGGCCGCTGTTCACGCTATAGTGTGCAAGTCCACGCCGGCCAGCAATGGCTACGTACCTCCCGTCCTGCGAGACGACGCTGGAGCGAATGGGCCACTGGGAATGCAGATATGATGGTGGATATTGCGCATGGTGCCAGAGCGAATCCTTACCCGAGATAGTCATGAGATCGGGTAGGTCGTGGCCGCGGTAGAGAATAATCTCCGTCCCGGTCTGCAAGAGACCCCGAGCCAGGTTCGCAGAAGAGTAGCAGCCCGTCAAGGCGCTGCGAGCGGTTTCGAGTATCCACAATCGACGATCATTCTGACCCGTAAGGATGATCTCAGCCCCCCCGCCTATCCAGCAGCCGTGAGATACACCAGTCACCCAGTCCTCATCGTTCGACTTGGCAAGAGTCCGATCTGCCGTGAAGCTGGTCCCACCGGGCTTGCCAAACACACTCCATGTCGTCCATCCACGCTCATAACCTGCAAAGAGGCAATAACCGTCGGGCGAATAGGACATGAATGACAGATTACCGGTTGTAGCAAGGGAAGCTGGCAGTTGAAGCCTATGCGAAAGAGGAACATTCCCCATGTAGTCTTTAGCCGTGTATACCAGAATATCACCGTTCATGCAGTTGACAGTAAGAAGCGAGAAGCGGGCATTGACTGCAACCTTCATGGCTTTCGTGCCCTCATCCTCGGGGTTGTGGAAGCAATGTCCTTGGAAAAGCTTCTTGGGAGTCTCCGAATCCGTTGTGCCTTCCGGAGTGCGCTGGACGGCATACGCCTGGCCTTCGTTGGTAATCCATACGAGCAGATTGATGGCCCGATCATACACCATATCTGTAATGGACGTGCGCTTAGACACACCCAGGATACGGCTCAGAAGCTCAGACTGTGTCTGGGAGCCATCCGCATCAGGCATCCATCGGATGCACTGAATGGCGGCCGGCTTCACCGTGGCGACGACGAGTTCATTATCCAGCGCAAGGGCTTTCGCAATGCCCGACTCTATCTTGATCGCCATTCTAAAGCGAATGCTGACATCTCGAATCCCAGTAGCCTCTTCCTCGGCTGTTAAGCGCGCAAGCTGCTGACGGCGAGTCGAACTGGTCTGATCGAAGTGGTGTTGATACACACGAGTGGTAGGGCCAACAGCAATCGTATACGTCAAAAGGTATCCATTCAGCGTCTGAGCAACGAGAATGGTCGAATCCGGGTGCATCAGGAGAGCTACATTAGGCCCATAGTTCTCCAGGGAAGAGGCGGACCGAGCAACCGCAGCTACAACAGCGGTGGGCTAACTGCTAGTCAACATGCGCATCTTACAAGTTTCAAGAATAGGAACCTACTCTAGTCTGCCATATAGCAATTGACGAATCAGTCATCGTCGCAAACATGAACCCACTCCTGGAAACGCAAAGCCCCGTAATGGGCTCATCCGCCCAGGCCGAGTCCGTCGTCCCCGTCGGTTTGTCGGCTTCATTTTCTCTCAACGACAAGCCCTGCTCCGCAGAGCTCTCGTACTCTATTGAATCATCATCTTCGGAGATCGTAACCGGGATTGCAGGGCCATTGATCGCATAGACCCGGGGAACTCCATTGGGCCAGTACATGGCTCGACACAGGCGCGAGAGTCACGGAGTATATCAGCAAGTTCACATCGAGTCATCTTCGTCAGACGCGGAAAACTTAAACTGTCGGGGTCGGGACGGATGCGATCCCGCGAGTACCGACCATATCCACCCAAGAGTCTCACTGACAGCGATGGATGAAGATGACGGTTGGGAACGTGGATATGGATTGGATCCAGCTCGGGAGCACGGGGTATCACGTGCAGGGAAGCTCCGGTGACAAACAGACCAAACATCCTGCAAGCCCCCGCATCCAATTTCCCCCCGCGACGCCTTTGCTTTGCTCGTGATAAGACATTTCCGTTCTCTGTGATACCCCCTTATACCTCACACAATGGTAAGATTGATTTTTTGCGCAGCCGATCATTCTGTAGCTATGATCAGAACCTAACTTCCCTCTCTCTAGGCTCCCACAGAGTCCAAGAAGCGCCTCGCGCTTGCCATCATTGACTTCCTCGGTGCCAGCTTGAAGGATGGCACCCTGACCGCCGACGATGCCGAATCCATCGAGATCGCCCAGTCCTGTATCGCCGATACCTTCAAGGTTGATCCCTCCAACGAGGCTGCTGTGAAGGATGCCGTGGGTGGCCAGTCTCTGGCCAGCATCTACAGTGTCTACGAGAAGCTTCGCAACAAGCCCACCGGCGACTCTGCCAAGTCTGCCGAAAGCCAGAAGCCCGCGGCTGGCGCTCCCACCCCCGAGTCCGACAAGCTGAAGTCCGAGGGTAACGGTGCCATGGCCCGCAAGGACTACACCTCCGCTATCGATCTCTACACCCAGGCTCTGGCTATCGCTCCCTCGAACCCCATCTACCTCTCCAACCGGGCTGCTGCCTATTCCGCGGCTGGACAGCACGAGAAGGCGGCCGAGGATGCCGAGCTCGCCACTGCTGTTGACCCCAAGTACTCCAAGGCCTGGAGCCGTCTGGGACTGGCTCGTTTCGACCTGGCTGATTACCACGGTGCCAAGGAGGCCTACGAGAAGGGTATTGAGGCCGAGGGCAACGGTGGTAGTGAGGCCATGAAGCGGGGTCTGGAGACTACTAAGCGCAAGATCGAGGAGGCCAAGCGTAGCACCGAGCCTCCCGCTGATGCTGTTGATGATGCTGCTGGTGCTTCCCGTGGTGGTGGCGGTATGCCCGATCTCTCTTCCCTTGCTAGCATGCTCGGAGGTGGAGGTGGCGGCGGCGGCGGTATGCCCGACCTCAGCTCCATCATGAGCAACCCTATGTTCGCCAGCATGGCCCAGAACCTGATGAGCAACCCTGACATGCTCAACAACCTCATGAGCAACCCCCAGCTGAGACAGATGGCTGAGAACTACGGCCGTGGCGGTGGTATGCCCGACATGTCCTCTTTGATGAGTGACCCCAACATTGCCGATATGTAAGTGACATGGCATACCTGGTCTACTGCATTGCAACTAACATGTATCTTCCAGGGCTCGGAACATGATGGGCGGTGGTGCCGGACGTGGAAACCAGTAAACGGGATATCCTATATGTGTTAGTGTTTCGGAGCTTTATTTGTTCATTTCATCAAAAACCATTGTCGCGCTCTCGACCTCGTATACGTGCAATGTATGATCATCTTAATTATGGAAGCGAATAGACACACCGCTATACTTGTCTGACAGATCTGTCTTGTTATGAGGAACATATTTCTTCGTTTCACAGCTGTATTTACAAAAACTCATAATGACCCACTTCATGTCGCCAGATTCAGGCCACATAACACCTAGACTCGCTTATCAAAACCACCAGAGAGGCCTAACGGCCACTCAACATAAAGGAACAAGACAACAAGCACTGAGCCAATGCAAAGATTTCATCAGAAGAGTGGAGGGTGAGGTTGCAAAGCGAGTAAACACGAGTCCCGAAACGCCCGAATGGAAGCACAAGGCCCACTGCGCAGATGTATATATATGATATACTCTTTTAGCGGACGCCAGTGAAGCTGGATCGGAGTCCAGCAGAGGGTGAGTGAGGATATCACAAAAGTGGGAGAAGGATGGTAAGAAAGGCGCCCAGCGAGATTAATCAAGTTACTATCACAGACGGTTTCATGAAGCGCCAGTTCCGCCTGGTCTCTATTTTAACAAAAATCAATATTGTACAGTCGGATGATATCAAAACAATCGAGAAGAGAATAGAGGCATGTCATAGACCAAAATCAAGCAGGTGTTGTGATCGTTGAGCGTCGAGGTAGGCGAGGGAGGTAAGAAGGATATTTCGAATGGCTTAGATGTAGTCACGAGCGGCCTTCTGCAGCTCGATCAATCTCCAACCCCGGGTCTCCGGGTTGTTGACATCCTCGGGTATCCGTGTCAGACCGATGGCGTAGGTGACCAGCTGGACCTTGTCCTCCATGCCGGCAGCCAGCTCGCCCGTCTTCACGTTCTTGTAAACGTGAACCTCCTGGGAGCGGCAAGTCACAACGAACACGGGGATGTCGCCGGGCTCCAGCATGCGGGCGTGGGAAACATCAACGCCACGGACATCGAGGATACGGCCATCCGACTTGAGGCCGGCAGTAGTGTACTGCTGGGCAAGAGCAGCGTAGACATGGAACTGAGCATCGGAGAGCCACAGCTTCAGGGTCTCAACGTCTCCCTTGACATAGGCGTCAAGCACTTCGGGCAGGATGTATTCACGCATCTCTCTGAGGAAGGCTTCCATCTGGAAGTTGGGGTCCATCTCACGGAACTTCTTGATGACACGAGCGGTCTCGTTTTCGGCGAAGAAACCAGCAACACGGTCGGAAATGCTGCGCGCGGTGCTGATCAAGGGGTTCTCCGACTCCTCGTAGGACTCCTTAAGGGTGAAGAGCTTCTGCATCATAGGGTTGGAGTCCTTAAAGTCGCGCCACGATTCCTTCCAGGCAGAGTCCTTGTGGAGGGTAACGTGGGTTCCGGCACTAGAGTGGATAACTGTTAGAGATCTCCTTCACATAATCTACTGAACATGACTCACTTGGGATCCTCAACCATCGGCTCGACACGGCGACCAGCCTTGAGCTCAGCCTCTTCACGCAGCTTGCGCTGCTTCCGACGCTCCTCCTTCTCGATGTAACCTCCGTAGCGGGAGCTGCTACCATCATCGATGGCATTCTTCACACCACCCACGGCACTCTTGTAAGCCTCGGTTTCTCTGACAGGTCTTGTGACCTTCTCAATACCAGAGCCAGTGACGTTGACACCCTTTCTGATACCCTTGACAACAGGAGTGTTCCAGGTCCATGCGGCACTAGTGCCAATGGCCTTTCCGGTGGTCTTGATGGCAGTCGCAGTCTTGGAGGTGGCGGCTCCAGAGGCGGCTTCATAAGCGGCACGAGCCTTCTTGATGTTCTCGTTCTCGGAGAACTGGTGAGCAGACGAAGCAAGAGCCTTTGTCGACTCATTCCACTCCTTCGAAGCCTTGAACTCCGTCTGAAGAGTCTCTCTGAACACCTGCCAGGGAGTCTTGTCACCATGGGGCGGCGGCGGAGGCGCATCCTTCTTTCCTTCCTTCTTGGACTCCCCTTCGCTCTTCTCCTCTTTCTCCTGGTTGGGCTCTTCCGACTGCTTCTCCTGCTTTTCTTGTTGCTCCTGCTTATCCTTCTGCTGCTGCTGTTGCAAGCGAGGGGCGACGACGTGGAAGGATCTGGTCAGAGGGAGAGCAGCGAACGGGGAAACGAGTTGAGAAACGGGACGGTCCGCGCGCTGGCTGTTCAAGAGGGTGTTTCGTGATGTAGCGTAAGAGCAGGACTGAATCAAAGAGCGCTGGGACACAGCAGCGGTCTTCAGAGTCGGCACCTGAGACCGTAGGGTGGCCGCCCGCGCGGTGACCGACATCCTGGTAGCCGAGATCATGCTATGCGACTATTTAAACAAGAACCGAATTAAAACCAAGGAAAAAGATAAGATCTGCGTGTTCGCCAACCCCGAAGATAAGGTGGGAGGACTGAGTTGAGGTTGAGGTTGAAGGGGGGAGGTGGATGAGGAAGAGCGAGGAAGCGATGTCGGCAGCTGGTGTCAGAACGAGCGAGAAGGGAAAAAAGTTGAGATGCTGGACGCCAAGCCCGTCGAAAATTCGGCCCTTTTCCGCCGCCCTGTCGTTCCGGCCCAGACTTGCGCCGCATCTTCGACTTGGAGCCACCTCCGGCTATTTGCAATCACGACAATTTCCATTGTCTGTCCGGAGTTTATTTTCATCTTGCTCCGCGTTCAATTTCGTTGGCTGGTATAACGGCCACGTTCGGTCCTTTCACCCGCCGCCTAGCCGTATCTCCCCGACATCCTCCTCGATTGACGACACCGCAAAGATGAACTCGACATTCGTTACTGCCCTGTCGAGGGCTCTGCCTACCGTTGGCCGCTCGTGTCAGATCCGTGCCCCTGCTTTCCGTCTTACGAGACCCTTCTCATCGACTCCCGCAATTCTCGAAAGCGCAAAGGAGAAGACCCGTCAAATCGAGAGAGAGATTCTGAACACCCCTGCGGAGAAGCAACCCGCCCAAGAGAATGCGTCATTCTCTGCGATCACCAAGATGATGCAGGGCGAGAAGGTTCGCTCAAACCAGGGTGTGAGTCGTGACTACTCCCGGATGGCCGAGAGCCTGGAAGCAGAGTTGATCAACCAGCCGTATGCCGATCGGTCTCCTCCTTACCACCTTCATGTCTACTGCCACAAGCACAACACCATTATGACATTGACACGGCCGAATGGAGACCCAATGTTGGCTAAGAGCTGCGGTCACCTTGGATTCCGCAAGTCTAAGCGTTCGGGTTACGAAGCCGCCCACCAGCTGGCGTCGCACGTCTTTGGCCAGATACAAGAAAGGGGCTTTTTGTTGGAAATCAAGCGCTTGGAAATTATCTTCCGTGATTTCGGACAAGGCCGTGAAGCTGTCACCAAGGTTTTGCTCGGTAACGAAGGAAGGAACATCCGCGGCTTGGTTTGTCGGGTGACGGACTCCACCAGACTCAAGTTTGGTGGTTCGAGAAGCCCCAGGGTTCGCCGTCTTGGTTAAGGGGGTGCATTTTGTTGACGGAATTTGTTATGTCGTTCTGACGCGGGTAGAAGTGCTTTGCTAGAACGTCTGGGACAAGAACACGGGCATGCTTTCATGATACCCGATGATGGGATGGGATTGATCAGAGATGCCCCGGAATAGGTTCTTCTCAGTCCAACCATATGGCGACCCTACACTGTATCAACTGAACCGTTCTTGTTGGGTGGCAATAGTTCGGGCAATGGTTCAGGGTTCAGGGTCCAGCTCCTTTTCTCTATTTGTATACTAGCCAGCCTGTTCCCGGCATATATGGGATTATTTTTTTTAGGATGCGAGTTTCTACGGGTGCAATGTATATCAATTCAAAGTTTCTCCTAGCAAGAATGTTATGAATGAAGGCGTGTAGTTGGACAGTTTGTCTTGGGAAATCTCCATAAAAGCGAGGCAGGCTGAGATCTAGGCCGACCCAAAGGGGGATAGCGCGAGGAGCTCCCAGGACTGCCACTCCGAAAGCTGTTGGCTGAGATCCCCCTCTTGTCCTCCAACAACTCCCTCACTCTCACTCGTCGTTCAGCTTATGCTTCTAGCCTGTCCATCGTGACGTTGAATTCTGTCTCTTCCGACTGGTTCTTTGCGCTTGCTTCCTAAGCTCTTTCGTTGAGACTGCACTATATCCGATTACCTGCGGGCGCATGCGCCGGAGCTGCTCCTCTGCGACGATCGAGCAGCGGATCCCCCCCTTCGAGACCGGTCTAGACGGCTTCATGAGTGCCTGTGATTCTGTGTTGGGCCGTCGTCCAAGACCGTTTGGATGCACCCTCTAAATCCCTTTCTCCGTGCCTTCTTCCGAAGCACAGTTCCGGGGCAGTGTATACCCACCGAGAATCATGTATGTCCCGCCAACTCTATCGGCTCCGGTCTGAGCCCAGCTTCTGACATGCCAACTTTAGGTCCTCCTAGTACCTGTCACGGAATCGCTGGTCGGCTCGCGCGACCGCGAGTCATCCCTCTACTACTCCGATCTCGTCGTATCCGAAGAATTCTTGGGAAGCCATACCTTGCGAATACCAGTGTCCACCGGGGCCGGCGGGGGAAAGGATGACTCAAATATACGAGATAGCCGGGGCAAGGCCAAACAAGTGACGACGGTCAACGGGCGCACGGTTATTATCAAGGAGAATTCGGTGTACAGTAACAAAGGTGGGAAGGCATCCGGCTAGTCTCCTGAGTGGCACATGCGCTGACCCTTGTATTTAGGCTTCAAGTCCCTGAGCCAAGCCCAGCTGTTATCCGATGCGCTGTACTACAACAACAGCAACGACTCTCAACCATGGCTGATCTACTACATCTCACGGCCGTTGATCGGCTCATTCGACCCCGGAAAGATAGTCACTGCTGTAGTGCCGGGCATGTTACCAAAGCGCGACATCATAGGCAACGGCATGAAGTCTAGCGAGTCCGTTTCGTCGCCACCGAAGAAGGAGATCAAGACATTTGGAGAACTCCTCGCGCACTTCCCGATGATTGCCCGGCAGATGCAACCTGGATTGGAGAGATTGTTCAAGGAATTTGGAAAGGAGCTGGGGAAACCGTTGCCACCTCCGCCGTCTCGTTCGCCCCTCATATTCGACGAATACGAACGGAAGCAGAACAACAACGAGATAACCGCCGACGAATCTGCTTCTATCCGTAGTTCAGCTTCTCGCAACAGGGAGGGCCTACCCTTCAACTCCGAAGAGTACTTCGAGGATGACGAGGATCTGATGCGTCGAAGTCTGGAGACAGCTGTTACTGCCGCAATTGACTTGTTTCGTTTAGTGGATAAGCAGCAGTTGTCTTTTCTAGGTGCCACCACCGATCTAACGGGACCGTTGGTGGAAAGGCTCATCGAGCGCTACGTCGCTGAGCAGGTGCACGAATCTCTTCTCTTCCCTCGTCTTTGCAGTTTCCGCCAGCCAGAAGACGCAGAGCTAGACTCTAGGATTCGTTACATGGAAAACATTGACATCTCGCAAGTGGGCATAGTTGTCGATGGTGGACGAGAGGGTAAGCGGGAATTGTTACAGCGCATCGGGAGAGCAGTGGAAGAGTTCCGCAAAATGCTAGACGCCAAGTGCCCCCACGACATGTTGAGCACTCTACTTCAGACAATCAAACTTCTGTCTTATCCAGGGAATTACGATAGAGCGGGGTCTCTTGCATCGGAAAAGCAATACGCGCCGGTAACGATCAACGCTGATATTCTGGTTTCATTGCTGCTGGTTGTGGTCATCAGATCCCAAGTGAAGAATCTGCAGGCGAGGCTGATGTACATGCAACATTTCATATACATCGACGATGTTGACAGTGGTGAAATGGGCTATGCGCTGAGCACTCTCGAAGCTGTTCTTACCTATCTGGTGACTGATTCCGCGGGTCTCCGGCGAGCCAGTATTCGAAACAGGCGCTTATGGAATGCAACTAAAGGCGGACGTGTCGTGGACATGAAAGCCATATTAGAGCCAAATGGCGACCAGGAGTCGCTAGACGAAGTCCCATGCGAGCCCGAAGAAAGAACTGTTGCGTTTCGGACGCATGACGAGGATAATCTTTGTCAAAGTCCACATGAGCCCTTGCTTTTGCAGGATGCACCGTTCGAAATGAGTGTTCCTAGTGGGACAGCGCATGATGAGGAACCCTCCGAGCCACCTCCCCTTTCTCATGTTTTTCCTTTCCAGACGTGGACGAACACGGCCCCTCCGAAAGAGATCCGACGCCCTGTGAAGAAGGTTTCCATGGATGTCCGCAGCCTGTCTGAATCATCTGGGATATCTTTGGCTTCCCGGACAACGGGAATGGGCTCAATTTCAAGCGCGATTGAGGGGGACAGCTCAATTGAGACATTGACGAAAACGCAAGATCCTGCAGGCGACTCGATTCCGATGATGGCCGTAGAAAGCCGCCAGCCAGACGCCTTGAAATACCTGCTGAGCCTTCAAGATTACTATCCGCTGGCGGATATTCTCGAGGACACAAATACAAATGGAACCACACTACTTAGTGCTGCTGTTCAGCTTGCTCATGTCGAAATGGTGGACATTCTATTAAACTTCCTATTCAGTTCAACGGATAAGCACACCATTGCATCGTACCTACAAAAGTCAGACATGCATGGGCGTACGGTTGCACACTACCTCTTCAGCACGCCATCGGTAATGCATAGGTTGGAGGGACTGCTGCCGTGGTGTCAACGCGACAAGCATGGACAGACGCCACTGTTCGCTTTATGCAGGTCTTACGATCACCCGGACTACAACTCGATGGTGAAAGAAGCACTCACGGCCGCTCAAATCGCCCAAGGTGATGGCAAGCCCTTGCGCCTCGATAATCATGTTGACTCTAGAGGCAATACATTGTTGCATATCGTTAGCGATCCGGAAATTACCATCCGCCTCTTGCAAGAATGTGACTGTGATCCAAATGCAACAAATGATAAAAGGTTCACTCCTCTCATGATGGCCAGCAAGTACGGCCGCATCGATCAGGTCAGGATCCTTTTCATGGACCCCAGAGTTGATGTTCACCTGAAAGAAAGCCGTGGTTTGACTGCTGTCGAACTTGCTAAGGATGATGAAGTGCGCAATCGCATTGACGATCTCATCCTTCTCTCCAACCCCCCATCAGCCTACGACGAGCAGTCTGGTCGTGTCACGACGGTGGTGCGCTCATACTTTGTTGAGGATGCGACAGTGCGCTTTGTTCTCAAGTCCGGTGCCCCGAACCCAACCATCAACTCAGCAGAGTCCCGTCCTGCGTCAGGGACAACATTCACAGTTACCACATGCCGTCGCACGTTTTCTGACTTCGAGAACCTTGCAAAGTGCCTGTCCATCGAGCATCCGGCTTCCTATATGCCGTCTCTGTCCGACTTCCGTAGCCCTTTCCAGATTCATTCCAAACCGTCCCGCTCTGTGCTCCATGACATGCAAGAGAAGCTCGACAGGTTCCTCAAGGTCTTGCTCACGCATCCAACTTTCGCCACTCACGAGATGCTGTGGGAGTTCTTTTTGGTTCCCGAACTGCAGCCCGAGATGATGGCAGACCGCTCGCAGCGCAAAGCCCAGGTTCTCACAGAGTCCATCAACGACGACTACGAACCCGTCACACCCGAAGGCATGCGCGAGACAGAGCAATTCGTCTCTCACGCCCAGGACATGGTCCGCGCCGTCCACGTCAACACTCGCAGTCTGCTTCGTCGCGGCCACGCTCTTCAAAACTCTGCATCCGACATTGCAGACGCCGTGGCCCTCTGTGCCTCCGTTGTCTCAACCCTCAAGGAACCGACCAACGCTCTACCAGCCTCCTATGTCGACGCGTTCACCCGCTATGCAACCCATCTCTCCACTTCATCTTCTGACTCTTCTCCTCTCCTTCAATTCCTCACGGCCCTGACCTCAATCGACAACACCACAACCGCCATCCTAGCATCCCTCTCTCGTCCCATCTCCCTCATAAACAACCTATCATCCACAAACAGAAACCTCTCCCGCAACCGCTCATCCCTCGTATCCTCCTCCCTCCCCCGCAAATTCAACATCAATTTCCCGGGTCTCGAAGAATCCCGCCAAAAGTCCGTCCGCGACCTCGAAACCAAGATCCAGGACTCCGAACTCCAGATCGCTCGTCTCTCCCGCGAAATCACCTGGAATAAGGACGTGGTTGTCGGCGAACTAGCAGGCTGGACCACCTGGCGCGAGAAAGTCGGACGAGATGCCATCCGCTCCTTCGTCCGAGCAACCTTAGTCCGAGAACGCGAACGAGGAAAGCGCCTAGAGCGGTGTTTACGTGGAGTGCGCGAGATGCGATAGATCTGTTTACTTTCATTCATTTATCCATTCACCCTGTTGTATCATCCTGTTATTATCTACAAATCATGCATGTACGGCGGTGCGGTGTATTTGCTTTTTTCTTCCCCTTCATCTGACTTCGTTTCGCTTTTCACTCTCTTCACCTGGTATCTCTCATTTCATCCTTCTGGTCCTGTTATAAATGGCAAGCTCTGTAGACTTATTATTGATTGATTGATTGATTGACCGGTGTTGTGTGCTGTGTTGCCATTTATGATCTTGGTCTGCTTTGACATTGTGCTGTGTTGTGTTGATTGGTCTGGTCGCTTGTCACTCGGCTTGTGATGCGTCTAGAGGACTGCTTAGCTGCGTTGTTAACCTAACCTATATTCATATACTACTAATATAAATCCGACGATGTGATGATATGAGTGGTCTTATTTGTAGGAGAGTGGTGGCTTGCTCATGGATTAGTGTCGGGCTGACTTTGCCCTATTCTGGGATTTGAACTAGGATTGTTTAGATAGGTGTAAAGATGGCTTAGCTGAGGGTAGCTGGTGTGTTGCTTGCTGTGTTAGAGAAGCTGTCTCATTCCTTTGCTGAGCCTTAGCTTTTCCTATAATTAGATATCGCGCACTTCGGATTAGAACGATGAGAAATGGTCCTATTTCGACAACTTTTGTCTATTGAGAAGGTGCATGGCCTTCTTATTAGTTCGTCCTGAAAAGGACTTTCGTAAGCAAAAAGGCCTTGTACATGAGTTCACGACGAGAAGGAATACCCTATAGGGATAGAAAGGAAAAAGGAAAGTAGACAAAATGTCCCTGACTTCCAATTCCGGCTTGGAAAATACAACTCCTAGTCGGATGTGACTATACCAAACACGTACCCAACAAGCACCCATCCCATAGTCCTGTAAGTCAAAAGGAGAAAAGGGGAGACATTGTTCTTTGGATTGCTGGAAGTTTGAACAAGCTGTTTCCACCAGCGGAATCACGCTTGCTGCTCGACGGGACATCACCGCCCTCATGTTCAACGTTTAAGGAAGTCCGCTCCAGGGCGTAGGCTGGGTCTGTGTGGTGTATCATTGGCTTCACCGAGAATGCCCTCAAGGGTGACGGTACGACAACGATTGATCTGGCCTTCGAGCCATGACGTTCGTGGCGGGAACGTTTTAACGCGCTGGCTGGACGTTCCGGTATTGCGTTCAACTCAGTTGTAGAGCCTGCATCTCCCAGGGTAGAGCTGGGCGAGTCGAGCGTAATCGTAGAGACGCTTTTGCTCGTGTGATAAACTCTCGTCACGGAGGGACCGTCTTGTTCAATGAGATAGGTCGAAGATGGCGAGCGACTCCTACTGAACATCAAAGTCTCTCGGCTTATCTGCTTGCTGCTCGTCGCAGTCATTTTGTGGCCTTCCTCGAGCAAGGTGAGAGCAGAGTAACCGGAGTTTGCATAATCTTGCTTTTCACGTTTGTGTCGCTCCCAGCTTCTTTTAGCCTTCTTGATGGATAGGATAGCTAAGAAAGTGAGAGCCATTACTGTGACGGCCGTAAATATGCACGCAGCAGCAATGGAGCTTTTCTGGTAACTCCAATGCGGTATCCAATTCCGATTCATATACTCTGGTCTCCGAGGGTCTGCACGTAGGTTCACCAGAGATATCCCAGCCTGTGCTGCACCGTCCTCATTTGTAGCCATTTCCTGCGATGAGGTGTTTGAGCGAGTTGCAAGCTGGGAGTCTCTGGCATAATCAAGACCATCAAGAACAGTGTCTAGCCGGTGTTTGACGACCTCACTGTTCCTGTTCCACAAGTGCATGCCCCCATAGCCTCTGTTTAGCGAGCTGTAGGCGCTTTCCAGTATCCCGGCAGATGTTCGTGACTGCTGCCCCAGAGCCCTTCTGTGGTAGTAGCCCTTGAGGGCACAATAGAAGCTAACAGCATCAGGAACGCGGGGCTGTGAAGCAAAGAGCTGTGTAGTTTGCCGGTCTTCTTTTGGTGCGGGCCAGAAAGTCTAATAATGGGACTCGTGGTGTGTATAAAGATCGAAGGTGCAATACAACTGTTCGATGACGGTAGCTTGTATATTGATAATCGCTGCCATTAGAGCAAATGCCTCGAGTCAGTATCAAGTCAGAGATATTCCAGAGAATAGAAGAATAAGTGATCTGTCCACTGTAGCATGGCTCAAATGATACCAGCGGAAAATGGAGGCAACTGCTCTGAGAATCACGGCTGGGTTGTGGCTTCCTAGATTCAAGTATAAATGTGGAACCTAATGTTAGCATAGTAGCACCTGAAAAGGGTATTTCTCTATTAGTGGCACTAGTAGTAGTAGTGAGCTTCTCATTCAGTTCTCAAATTAGTACTATACTATGCTATGGTGTTATTCAAGTAATAGATAAAAGTCGAGTGAGCAATCAGTATAGATCTTGTTATATATATTGGATATATATTCTGCCTTTGGGGCAGTGAGTATGGACACCACCAAAGATTTGTACAATTTCCTGACGCACTGAAGTACTCAAGTTCAATAGTAAATATGATTGACATGACCTCGGAGGAATAATCTCAAAAGTGAAGTCATCAATAAATCCCAGGATAGTGTAAAGAAGTATACAATTGCATGTAACATGCCGCCCTCCCAATAGCGCTAATCCCGAAACAGATCGACGTCATCAGCACCGCCACACCCCAGCCTCATCCACCGGCATGATGTCATCGCCAGGGTCCCAATGTAACTAAAAGTATATATAAGTAATGAAGGGTGCCTGTCAGGCTTATCTCCCACTTCCAAACCCAAACTTATCTATCTCCACTTACTTTTCCTATTACACAAAAGTATCAAGAAATTATTTCTACTTCGAAGATACAAAGCAAACTACAACCATGCCTCTCGTCGTTCCCGGAATCAACAACACCTCTGGTGGTGCCAGCCAAGAGGAGTGGCTCAACAAGCTGGCGGGGAAGAAACTCACTGAGTCGTCGAGTGATGTGACTGTATGACTCTCTTCCTTCTCACCGAGCTAGATGTTGCTGTATCTTGTGTGTTGGGGGGACCTTTTGACTGATGCTAACGTACCGTTTAATATAGTCATTTGCGAAGAAGGACCTCCCCCAGCAACACCGTGTGCTCAAGCCTGGTGATGCTAAGACAATGGACATGAGGCCAGAACGGTTAGTTTACCCCCGTTGTTATATGTATACTGTCCTCATGCTGATGGGTTTGTGTCTTAGGATGAACATCCACTTGGGTGACGATGGCACTGTTCATGATGTGACCTTTGGCTAGAGGTTGATACTTGATGTCTGGATTACGACTTATAAAGATGTGATGTGACTTGTTACGATATTATGGGACGATACTTTATGTACTATTCTGAGACGGATCTATTGAAATAATGTTGTTCATTATAGTGTGATATTCTGTCATCTGCTTGAATGATGTAGTCTTCCATTCTACCGAAGCACCAACATACTGTGATATGAACCAAAGAACATTATAGCATTCTATCAGACGGCACGGTGCAACCTATCTCTTTAGTAAACTTCAACAATAGCCATTTACTCTAGCTTCCATCTCAGCAACGTCAAAGAATGTTTCGGGAACACAAATTGTCCCTTCGCCTCCCCTGTACTCTCGGTCACAACAACCTCCTCTTTGCCGTTCATATTACAAGCCTGGACACTCTCTCCAGTAACAGTAAAGATCGAGATCGGCCCAGACGGCCCATCAATGTTGCTCGTGATATCCTTTTCCTCGTGAATATTGACCACCGCAACATTCACATACCCATCCTCACCGAGGGTAGCGCTAACATCCAACCAAGGTGTATCTTTGACTCCGCGCACCCACTTCGGAGAAGTTTCCCCCTCATAAGAAGCACAAGATAGATGCACACTGATAGTCCATCCCCGCATATACTTCGAGAACAGGTACAAAGGCCAATAAGTTGTCTGCTTAGTGATGCCGTCCTTGCTTGTCATCAGTGGGGAGATGACATTAACGCTCTGCGCGATGCATGCCATGCCCAGGTCTTTGCTTTTCCTGACAAAAACATTCAAATAAACGGCCACGGCTAATGCATCGGAGAGAGTGTAGGACTCTTCTGCACCCTTGCTGCCCTCTGCGCGAATAGGGTCCCAGACGTTCCATTCGTCGAAGCAGATGGTGGGTCGGTGTTGATCGGGTGGAACGCCGTTCTCGATTCGGGCGAGATCGATCAGAGATGAGGTGATTTCGATGGCACGCTCTGCGGCTAATGGGGCGGTGACATTGGGGAGATGGGAGGGAGAGCTGGTGTATAGGTGGATGCTGTGCATGTCGATGAGAGGTACGGTGCTGGTAGATAGAGGGGAGTGTGCTGGAAGCAGGCATTGCTTAAGGGTGTAGTAGTCCCATGAAGCTGTGCCGTCTTGTCCACAGAGAACCAAGATCAAGCTGGGATCAAGAAGCTTTAAGGCTGTAGAGCGTATCAGTAGGTGTTTAGGAGAAGAGCAACGGATGGCTTACCCTTGGCCCATTGATAGGCTTTGTGAGCATATGCTTCCTTGGTCATCTGTTCGACCTGCCAGGGACCCCAAGTCTCGTTGCCCAGGGCCCAGTATTTGACCTGGAGCATGAATGAGTACATAGGAAGCCTGAGGAATAGGGCATTCGGGATCATACATTGTATGGCTCCTCGCGACCATTCTTCCGCCGAAGGTTAGCATAGTATGTATCTTTAGTACCGTTACAGTACTCGACCCACGCCAGCGCTGTATCAAAGCCCATTAGTGATGTGTCATGTATGAAGTTAGGATAAGTTACCTTCGTCAAGAGTACCTGGCCATACGTCAGCGCTTGTGCTTCAAGTAGGACGGATCACATTACCAGTTCCAAAGTTCAGGCAGAAGTAGGGCTCAGTGCCTAGGACTTCACACCATTTCAGGAATTCATCAGTGCCAAACTGGTTGGTCTCTGTTCCCAGCCATGCTAGCTCAGGTCTATAGAAGCAGTGAGATTAGCCTTACAGCATCTGTAGGAACGAAAAAGATATAATTACTATCCCAGGAGAGATTAAACAACAACGAGGTAGAGAACATGTACGAGACATATGTGGAAGGCTAAATGATCATGTGGACATACCTAGCAGGTCGTTTCTCCTTCGGCCCAACCCCATCGATCCAATGATAAGTCGCCATGAAGTTCCCACCGGGATAACGGACGACAGGGATGTTGAGCTCCTTCAGAGCTTCGAGGACATCTTTCCTGAAACCATTCTCGTCTGACAGTGGATTGCCTGGATCATAGATGCCTCCATAAATGCATCTGCCCATGTGCCTAACAATACGTGAGCTCACTGCTAAGTTGCTCACAAGGCAAATTAGTCTTGGTCAGTAGACCTACTCTGTAAACCCCGCGTAAATATTCGGATTGATCTTGGAAAGACGCCTCTCTGGGTGGATGGAAATACTAGGCGCATCCTGGTCACTAAGCTTGGTGAAGGTGGTCATGGCGCGAATGATATGACAAGGTTCCAAGTAGGGTAAGTGATAACCTAATCTGAATTGGTATAGAGGAAATCAAGACGGTAAACTCTACCAGAGAGGATTTGTCGAAAGCCAGTACGATGGCAGACTAGCAACAGATATTAATGTGCGGGAGCTATTACCTGGAGTCCCGCATAAATCGGGGAAATCCCCTGCGGGGTGATTCCAGACCTGCGACTGACTCTCGTGTGCACCACGCGATGATGGTCTGTTAGGGCGTCGGGAGTGGATGAGATGCATGGTGCTCTTCCGCCGTTGGCTTGGGGTTCAAGCCGAGGCAACGCCACGGCAATATTCCATCAATCAGCACGCTTGTCAGACGGGAATCTTTTCTTGGTTCAGAAACCGTGCATATTGATACCATTCCCGTATCGACAAAGCGTTACTTGGCTTGACCAGGGTAGTCGCTAGCGATAGGTCACGCATGGCATGTTATTCAGTGGCTTCGGTTGTGTTGGATCCTGAGATTCCTAGAACACGATCCTAAATGGCTTCCTCGCCGACGGCCTCGTTTAAATCTCAATTAACCGAGATGCTCATATCATTTTCAGTGAGATGTGAGGTTAATATGGCCCATAGAATGGCTATACACGTGGAATGCGCGGCTCAATCTCCAGATGTTCTTAAATGGCCGAGGGTCCTGTACCCCAGATTTGGTCTCCGCATTTCTGTCGTTTAGCTCAGCTTAGTGATCCGAGACACTAAAGCATTAGGAGCGCTTTCTACCATCATGCGTCTCTCCCCAGCATGGTATCAAGTCAGTCAACCTTCTAATTACCTGCTAAGAAGTATGGGCTAACTGAGTTTCCAGTTCCTAGTAGGCGTTTTCGCCTCGCTGGGTTCATTCTTATATGGATGTGTGTATACTCTTCCTCCTTGCTGTGGATCCACGGGGCCTAACACTAGTCTCCGCAGACGATCTAGGTGTGATCGCTGAAGTCATCGCCTGCGGATCGTTCATATCCAGATTTAATTTGAATGACACTCAATCGTGAGTCGCTAGTTCCTGGTATGTTGAAGTGCTCTGACGTTTCGTAGTGGACTTGTGGTGTCCATGTTCACTGCAGGTGCTTTCTTTGGTGCAGCGTTTGCAGGCCCTAGTGGTGACAAGCTAGGCCGACGATGGACCATTACTGTCGGTTGTGTTCTCTTCTGCCTCGGAGGTGGTCTTCAGACTGGAGCACGAACTGTTGCCTTCCTCTATAGCGGAAGGTTCTTTGCCGGCCTGGGGTATGCTACTCTATGCTCAGCGACCGTTCAAAATCATAGGTTAATCTGTTCGCAGGGTCGGTTTCCTTACTATGATTATCCCTCTTTACCAGGCCGAGATCTGCCATCCGGACATTCGTGGTCGTGTCACTGCTCTGCAGCAATTTATGTTAGGAGTCGGGTCTCTATGTGCTGCTTGGATCTCATATGGCACATATATTGGATTCTCCGAAACCAATGACACACAATGGCAGTTACCCCTTGGACTGCAGATTGCACCAGCTGTCTTCCTGGGACTTTTGATCATGCTATTCCCCGAGGTACGCAATGTCTCATCGTTATCCTGCATTCATGCTGATGAGTAGTAGTCACCACGATGGCTCATTGACCACGGCCAGACCGAGAAAGGCCTGAAGACATTGGCAATGCTTCATGCGCATGGCAACGAAGAGGATCCCTGGGTCCGTGCGGAATTTAATCAGATCCAAGAAAGTATTGTCTTTGAGCATGAGCACGAGGCCAAGTCCTACAAGGAACTTTTTACATCACGGTCGTCCTTCCGTCGCCTGTTCCTTTGTTGCGCATTGCAGGCATCCGTACAGATGACCGGCGTGTCTGCAATCCAGTGAGTACTCCCTCAAGGTTTTATTAATGATAACCCCAAAGACTCATCACTCATCTGATAGATACTACTCTGTGACCATATATGGTCAGATTGGCATTAGCGGCGACAAAACGCTACAATATCAGGCTATCAACTCCATCATCGCCCTAGTAGCTCAGTTCCTCTGCATTCTCTTCATCGACCGAGTCGGTCGCCGCTGGACTCTGATCTGGGGTAACCTAGGGAACATGGTAACATTCATCGTTGCCTGCATCCTGTTAGCGCAGTTCCCCCCAGAAAGTCACAACACCGGAGCCCACTGGGGCTTTATCATCATGACTTGGCTGTACAACTTCTCGTTTTCGTGCACATGCGGCCCTCTGTCCTGGATCATCCCAGCAGAGGTATTCGACACCCGAACGCGGTCGAAGGGTGTTTCGCTGGCTACTATGACCTCGTATGCATTCAACACGATGATTGGGCAGGTGACACCCATTGCCATGGAGAGTGTGCGCTATCGATACTACTTCCTCTTCATCATCTGCAACTTCACGAATGCGGTGTTCTTCTGGCTCTTGCTTCCCGAGACGAAGAAATTGCCGCTAGAAGAGATGAACTATCTGTTCTCGAATTCTCCGTGGATTGTGGCGGGAAAGCGTAAGGAAGATTATGTTCCTCATGATTTACAGCGGAGGCTGGAGGAGGAGGCGGAGAAAAGAGAGGTCTTCGCCACTCACAATGAAGTGAGTTGAGCACTGGAAAAGATGGAAGAGAATTGCAGGTCAGCTCGTTATATGCCTTCTGTTTTGATCAGAGGGTTGAGTAAGTGGAGTATGTCCTTACTGGCACCAAATCATATTGATCGCAACGGCAGTTGCGTAGTTCGCACTATCTCGGAATTAATGGAGTGCTAAGTGAGCATATTGAAGTGTAATTCTTGAAGCGAACAGACTCGCGTGGCTCTCCTGACCACCTGATGGGAAAGGTAACATCAAGTACTGTAAGTATTGGTGTTTTAAACTTGATACACATGAATTCCAAGCCTACAAATACTGTAATGACTGCCATTTCTGAATGCTAGTATGTAATATTATAAGATATGCGATATAGATAAGACCTAAACGCTTTTAGTGATCCAAAGGCCCCGTTGCTGATGTTTCAGTGCAAGCAAGCTAGTATCCCTCGAACCCAGAGGGACGAAGCATCATGTACATTACAACGAGACCGCATCAGTAGTCCGCAGGCGCAGAAACTCAAGCGACGGAGAGCACGAATGTAAAGAGCAGGGATACCAAGCGCCTATTGTACAACACATCAAGATCATTCTGAATCTGAGCCGTAGTCGGCTAATCCAAGGGATAACGAAGGTGCTTTTGCTGCTGCGTTCGATGCAGTCTGCTTTGGGCTTGATTTTGAATCCTGTACAGGCTTGCTTGCTCCAGGCAATGCAGCTGCTGGCTTTGACTCTTCCGGCTTCTTTTGCGTTGGCTCCGGCTTGCTTTCATGGACACTCTTATCGACCTTTCCGGATTCTTTGTCCGCACTTTGTTCTTTCGAGGAGTTTCCAGTAGTGTCACCCCCCAGAGACTTGCGCTTTTTACCGGGTATAAGAAGGTCTTTGCTCTTCTCTCGACGTCTCTTGCGGGCAGGAATCTTCCAGTCCTCTCCTTCAGCGGCCGGTGCGACATCCGCAGATGTATCCTCCAGCAGAGTTTTCTCTGCCTCTTCTCGCTGCCGACGGAACAACTCCAGCTGTTCGGCAGTCTCCTTCTTGACCGCAGCTTCCTTGGCCCGGGTGGACTCCATGATAGAATCGAGGAATTCGACTTCGTCTTCGTCCAGCGAACGGAATTGATTCTTCAGCTTGATCTTCTCTTCGAAAGCTTCCTGCTTGGCCACTTTGCGCGACAAAACACATCACCCTAACATGTCAATCCAAGGCGTCTCCTAGCACACGCGCCTCATGGCATCTCCGCACAATGTGGAGACTCACTTTTGTTCTGCTGAAGTACTTCGTATAAGCTCTTGCCATCTTCCTGCCTCCCTAGCTCTGCTTTGCGCTTGCGCTCCTCCTCGAGCTCATTCTGTACACGACGCCATTCATCGTCGCGTTCGATTGGCTCCTGATCCGTTCCGGCGGATACGAATCCAGACGACATGGTGATCTCGTTGGCGGAGGTGTACACAAACCTAGCAGGCCGTCGTCGAATGGGATGTCCGGAATTGCGACGGAGCGGACAAAGCACAAGGCCGTGGATCTGCAAGAGCCTCTGGCAATGGATCCAACGCGAGAATATTGTAAACGGCAGCGAGCAACGTCACGGGCGGCTTTGCTTTGCTAACTTCCGGCGGCTTCTTCCTTCACTTGTGACCGTTGCCAACCGAGAGCCACAGTAGTGGACCGGCAGAAACAGGCGGTGAAGCAGATGTGGTCCATGGTCATTGGGCCTGAGGCAGACCCACGCCGGAGCGGCGGAGTTCTGCTGTTTTGGTCAATTTAGGCAAAATGCCTCATTAGTCATCTGAGGGGCTGTGGTTTAGAAGAACCACCCTGGCTAAAAGACTGTCCATATTATCCTCTACCTAGAAAGTCCTACTGTACAGAGTAACTGGGACGACTTTCATCTCGAGTGACCCAGAATTTGCCTTCCGGTGTCTTCAGTACGTTCTCATAAGTTATCGGCACAATGAGCCCTGGTAATCCGATGTTTCGATTTCCTGAACAGTAGCAGTTCCACGACATGGTTCAATTGGCAATGTGATGCTCTTGTATACTCTTCTCCAAAAGTTTTAGCCTGGTATCAACTCAGTTACGCCTTTACCTACTACTCTCTGAGTGATAGACAGCACTCGGACAACCTCGTTTAAGCGCAACTGACCGATGTCAAGGGCTTCAACCCCGTTCGGGCTCGGTGGTAACTCCTTTGATAACGGCAAAACAGGAGCCCCAGGTTGCAGATCGGAAATGACTGAATCCGTAGTTATCGTTGGCTGAAACCGACCTTCCAATGCAGGAGACCCGACCCTTGGGTCCGTCCGCTAAAAGAATGCCTGGGTGATCACTGGCCAGCGATGCCTCTGACGCTCCCCACTATCTCTAGGAGGGGCAGGTCGTGCCCCTCCATCGTCATCGTCCCGCTCATGGTGTGCTGGATGGACCTGCCTCCTCTCTCGTCCGGTCCGCCCTCGGAGCTTGCATCCACCTTGCTATAAAGCCCACCTTCACCCAGACTGATCAATTCTTCATTTTCTTGATCCCCCATTCATCATCTTTCCCTATTCCTCCTTCCATACTCCTCGGAATCACCAATCAATCGCACAACATGTCGAACCTCGAGCACACCAAGTGAGCTACCCCCTCTCTTTAACTGAGCTTCAGTTGAAATACATTGAACGTGCAGCACATGAGGGATTCTTGAACTTACTAACAATTATTATCCGCTCCTTAGGAAGGTCTACACCCTCAACACCGGCGCCAAGATCCCCGCCGTTGGTCTCGGTACCTGGCAATCCAAGCCCAACGAGGTCAGAGAGGCTGTCAAGAATGCTCTCCTGAAGGGATACCGTCACATCGACACGTAAGTTGGGAGCAGCCACCACTTGCCGGACAATCTAAAAGAACTCAATCTGACAAATTCATCATTAGTGCCCTCGCCTATGGCAACGAAGCCGAGGTTGGACAGGGTATCCGTGACTCTGGTGTCCCTCGCGAGGAGATCTGGGTTACCACCAAGCTTGACAACACCTGGCACCACCGTGTCACCGAGGGCATTGACTCCTCCCTCAAGGACCTTGGCCTCGACTATGTCGACCTCTACCTTGTCCACTGGCCCAGCTGCACTGACCCCAACGATCTGAAGAAGCACCTCCCCGACTGGGACTTCATCAAGACATGGTACAGTTTCTCTCGTTGAAAATACAGTAGTTAGCGTTGCTAACACCATCCAGGCAAGAGATGCAGAAGCTTCCCGCCACCGGCAAGGTCCGTAACATTGGTGTCTCCAACTTCGGCATCAAGAACCTCGAGAAGCTCCTGAACGACCCCAGCTGCAAGATCGTCCCTGCTGTCAACCAGATCGAACTGCACCCCAACAACCCCTCCCCTAAGCTGGTTGCCTACAACACCTCCAAGGGCATCCACTCTACCGGCTACTCTTGCCTCGGCTCCACCAACTCTCCTCTCTACAAGGATGAGACCCTCCTCAAGCTGGCCGAGAAGAAGGGCAAGACTCCCCAGCAGGTTCTGCTCCTGTGGGGTGTGCAGAAGGGCTGGAGTGTCATTCCCAAGTCGGTCAGCAAGTCTCGCATCGACGCCAACTTCGAGCTTGATGGCTGGGAGTTGACCGCCGAGGAGATTGATCAGCTGGACAACCTCAAGGACCGCTTCAAGGTCTGCGGTGACGACTGGCTCCCCGTCAAGGTTTTCTTCGGTGACGACGAGTAAACTATTATCTACGAGACTATGATGATATCCATGTGAAATAGAGCTATAGAAAGCAAAATAAAATGTACATACGCTTGACCATACTTCTGATGTAAATTTGTGCGCAAACATAGAACGTGTTGTCTTGAAGCACAACTAGACCGCCGACAGCAGGTTCCTCATTTCGAGGCAACTCTTCCTGTAGTGTCAAGGCGACCTTCCCTGGAATGTGAAGGTAGGATTATGATCGACCTAGTCTTTGTTCACTTATATGTAATTAACTCCAAAAGCCTGCCAATGGCCCGAAATATGCCGTATCACATATGTGAATGATCAGGAATATATGCTAAATAGCATCCAGTAATTGCTAAGCACATAGCATGAGGATACATACTGGGATGACCCAAAATTACGGGAGCACGTGGCGCCGGATCACATGCCGCACCGCCACCCCGGGCTGCTCCGTCATCAGGCCAGGTCCCTCCGTCATCCCCTTATCTCTCTTCCATCTACCATCATCCTAGGATGGTTATTCCATCTGAGAAACATCTTTAAATCTCTCCATTCGATTGCAGTCAGGATGCCGCCTTCAAACGGGCACCTGCTGCTCCCCAAGTTCTGGAGAGCAGCCAGGTGAGTCATTCGCCACTCGGATATACTTCATTCCGCTAACGGCCTCCAGGTCTGCCTACGAGAAGGCCTACAAGACTATCAAGTCTAGGTTCCCAGAGCAATTCCAACAAAGCTCACTTCGCCTTCAGCCTGAGTATGTGCGTGTAGTCAACAGACACCCTATCAACCGGGCTGCTGCTATCCGTCAAGCTCGTGGTCGCCACTACTACTCCACCCGTGCAGCAAGCTCCTTCGTCTCCTACATTCGCAGTGGCCTACAGGGCGAGCGTACTGCCTACAAGACATCTCGAGTCGCAGCTAATGTCAGTCGCTTGACTAAAAATGCTCCTTTTGCATCAACACTTCGTCCGAATCTGACGGGCGGCACCCTAGGCCGCACGGCGGGTGGTTATGCAATTGGTGCCGGCCGTATCGGTGGGGCTCGATACTTCTCCCATGGCGCAGCTGCCCCTGCCCAGGTCATCAACAATGTTTCTGTCGGTGTCCGGGCGTTCTTCCTCTCGGGACAGAAGGCTCGCTTTGATGGAGTCGATCCCATTACTGGCAACAAGCGCTTCAAGACTGTGAGCAAGCTTCAGGATGAGGCCGAGCGCAAGATGGCGGCGATCCCTCGCACGGCACCCGGCTCCTTTGTCGACTTCCAGATTTCCCCAACTATCACCGCTTTCGGTCTGCAGAAGAACCTGGTAGCGACTGGTGCTGGTGACGCCCAGACCATCAACTCGGACGGTCTCTTGGATTTCCTGTCCGCGGACTTTGCCCGTGCTCTCAAGGATCTTGCTGCTGTGCTTAACGACCTGAAGAGGCTATCCACACTGGGTGACCTGCCCATTTTGCTACATGATAAATCGACGATTCGGGTGCGGTTCCCTGGTTGCGATGCTAGTACTGTTGAACGTCTGTGTGACGAGGCTGGGGTTCAGAGGGGCAAGATAGTGCAGGATGAAGACTTCGACATTCGTACAGGTGCCGATCTTGCTCTCTTGTTTCCTTTTGCCCCTAGTGTGCCAGCTTCTCCTGACGTGAACGACTACTTCTACCGCTCTGGGACCATAAAGTCACAGGCTCCTGAGGAGGTTGATTGGCATGCCATGATGTCTCCGGAGGATGTGTCAGAAGCATCTCCCGAACCCTACAAGCAGCCCCTAAACCAGCTCAGCTTCGAGGATGTTACCATGTTCGGTGAGAACCCATGGATGTCTTCTCCGTCAGGATATTCCAGCATCAATGTCAGCGAACTTGGCGATCGGGCCTTTTTTGCAGAAGTCGCAAGCATTGGTTTACCCGAAAGTGCCTCCGAGTACGATGGATCGGATGGAATACGCAAATTCATAGCAGAGTGTGATCATGCTTCGCGACATTATGGGCGGGCTTTTTAGCCGTGATACTTATGAACATACAGACTTTGACAGTCATTTATTTCCTATTGTTGTGATTTATCTGAACCATATACCTTTATATTCCAAACACGAGGTGACAGATGACGTTAACATGCGAAAAGACCAAAAACACATTGATCAATAGCTTCTGCTTGAGGAGCTCTACATCTAGTTCGAACAATTATTCTATGTATTTAGGAGAGAGTTAGTTCAGCCAAACTTGATCTTGTCCCCAAAACTGCCCTGAAGACGTGGCCATCTCCCCTCTAGTAGGAATGCCTCACCTTCCAAATGGAGCGTCGGACCGTTGGACCGGATAGCTACATCTGTGATGTTTTGTGATCGGAGTTTTGTAGTCACCACTACCTAGCAGTATACTGGCTTAATCCAAACTGATGCTGAGTGCAACCGGATTTCAGGGGCCCTTTTGGAAGGAATGACATTGAATTCTCCCGTGCCTGCGACCACTAACGTTATGCAGGAGAGGAAAGGAACCTGAACTAATGCAGCTGAAACAGTCCTCAATATAAACCATTTATCCGTAGCTTCGCCAGGAGAGCGGACATAGCCTTGTAGAGATGAAGATCGACCGGACCGAAGCCTTTTCGGCTACGGAGAGTCCGTCTTGAGACACGGAACAGTTTTCCTCATCACGACAATGTCCCTGCAGGAACAATTAGTCCATATATTCAGGCGTCTTGGCCTGTTACGGAAGAAGATGTTT